TCTCCTCGTAGACAGCCCAGCAAAAGCAGCCTGAAGGTGTCAAAGAAACCAACAGCAGCCCCCCCAGATCCCCCTATCAGGGCTTCACCTCCCGCCCAGAACTCTGACACCTCCAGGTCGTATCCCAGTCCACCCAACTCCGACCCGAACCCTCTACCTCCAGGGCGACAACCAGGAGACCGCTTCTCCTACTCGCCCTTGCTGTCTTACAGAGTCACACCCACGCCACCCTCTCCCACTCTCTCCCACACCTTTAGCTCTCCAGCTTCTGACCCAAAATATTCTCCATTGCCGGTGAGCCGTTCTCGAACCATCTCAGAGCCGCAGCCCAGCACAGAGCCTCCTCAGAACCAGAACCACTCTGCCTCCACCAGCATCCTAAGGAGGAAGGTGCTTTCAAAGGAGACAGTGAGGCACTACCAGGAAAAGGCCCTCCAGAGGCAGGGCAGCAAGGGCCAGCAGGACGCAGGGCATCAGGGGAGCCCAGTCAGGAACAGCCAGTCCACTATGCAGGTCCCCTGGGAGAAGGAGGCATCGAAGGAGGGGCTCCTGGGGCTCGGCCTATGTTTGAGTCCGGGTAAAAGCTCGGGGACAGATGCGGCGCAGGATCAGGGCCTCCTCGAGGAGATCGAGTCCATGTGTTGCCTCACCTCAGTCCTGCAGCTGTCACAGGTTCATTGCAACAACAGTCACCACCAGGTCCCAGGGAAAGCTGCCAAGGAGTCCTAGAGACCCCGGAGACTCCGCGTCTGTATCATGCCATAGGCTCCACTGAAATCCTCTCACTTCTATACACTTTTACAACTATTACACACAACTTTTTACAACGATCCGCAGTCTCAGAGAACATAGTTAGCTTTCAGGAAGAAGAATGAACAAGTTTGATATCATATCCTCACCTACAGTCAGTCAGAGCCTCTAGAGCAGGAAACAAGAAGAGATGGTTTGGTGTCAATTTCTTACAACCAGTGACAACAATATGCCAGTGTAGAAACTATATTTAAAGGGTTTATTTTCAAAGTATTTAAACTACCTTTAGGTTTGTTTGTTTGTTTTTTTTTCTTTTGCAAATTTTATGTCTGTGACAAAATAAGTTCTCTTTATTTAAAAAACACTGATATGTAAAGGAAACAGGCCAGTATGATCTTAGTACAGTGGCTAGAGTTTGATACATCCAACACAACTGATTTACTTTTCCTCTGAGTGAGTTTGATGCTCAAACTGATGAGTTTTTACAAAGTTTTAAATTCTTCATAAAGCAAGTGAATTACCTGGAAAGTTAGAACTCAAACTGAAGCCATAATATTGAGATTTCTGAAGTTTTTGAAGAGCAGGTTTCTCATCGGTTTTGAATAATAGGAAATAATGAACTTGACTTTGGACGAAAATAACTAGCCACCCAAAACTGTTGTTATAATCGGGGTATTTCACGAGTCATGAAGGATTTCAGAAGATGAATTATTTTGTCAGGTTTAAAAAGGGGAATTTATCTAAAACAAATCGGTCAAAAGTACCAAAAGTGTCCCGAACATTTCACTTAATCTAACTGAATTTGCACTTGTAGGTAAATAATTTGTACTCAGTCTTCGTCATGCGGTACTGAAATCCTTGGGCAAAAAGAACAAAAGTGAGACACAATTCCAGCCACAAAGTCCACTCAGGCCATTGAGTCAATTCTACACTGTGTAACACAAACCCTTTCCTTCTTTATCACAATGCCTTAAATGGACATGTGATTTATTTTTAATACTTGGGTGTCTTCGTCTTTAGACACCACAACTTGTTACTGTCAGATCTTGAATATTTCTTTAACAGCACTGTATCTCTCTGAATTCATACAAAATTATATATATATATATAAATATAAAATGTGCTTTAAGCTGCTGTTTTAATTGCATTCCAGGTAATGAGATGTGCATGTAGGAAGCTCTCTTTCTTGTCTCTTTCTTCTTCCTGTGTCCCTCAGGACACTCCTGTAACCCTGAAGAGACGCAGTCCAAATGGAGGTGAAAGACATTTAAATGTCAGTTTTAATGATTCAAGGCCTTTTCTATCTTTTTTAATCATCCTCCCGCTTACCATTAGGCTGTTTTCCTGATATTCGGCCTCCTACTCCCTGTTACAAATCACCTAATTTTCACTCTCCACCGTAACATTTAAAAGACTAAGTCTGGTGATATTCGGTTTTTCCATCACTCCCAGACTTCTGTATTAAAAACAAGTATAATGATATATGTGATTCAATCTCTAAAAAGGTATAATTATGTAAAGTGTGCTCAAACAGGAGAAAATGCGGCTTTTTTTTAAGACTTTTTGAGCCGTAGAAAACCTGTTACTATGAAATTAGCATTGAATTTCCTACTATTCATTTACACACAATATCACCAGTCTCTGAGTACATTTCAGTCTCCCTCTGTTGGCCTCCTTTTCTCTGCCAGCAGGAGGAAATGCACTCTCTGTCCTCGCAGGTTTGAGTCACACACTGTACTGCACTGCGGTGGTTGATGATTGTACTGTAATGAAGCAATAGTCGTCCTCAGAGAGTAGCTACATGGATGTAACGTGTACACAGTCAAAAAAAAGTTTTCCTTTAACAGACTCTCCCGTGGAGAGAAACGCCGCTTCTACTGCTCGTGGACTCCAACCGTTCTCTGTGCCGCCACAAACCCAGAGAAAAAAAAAGAAGAAGAAAGCTTTTGCTGTGCTTGTGTTGGGATTATTACATTTATGGTCCGTTGTTCTTATGATTTATGCCAGACGCCAGTCGGTGTGGCAGTTTAATAGCAGCTATTTCTCCGCTTTCTGAGTGCTGCTCTGCGTTAACGATTCTCTCATAAAGTCTTTGGCGTGCTTCTAAAAGCCCAGGAACGGGTCCTAGCAAATCCAAAAAGAGGAAAAAAACACAGACTCCAAAAATAATCTCTGCACTGGCCTTTTACGTTGTAAACTCTTTAAAAACTTATTTACTATGCAAATATTTAAAATGATCCAAAAGGTCAATCCTTTAAGAGTTATAACATTTTAATGCACACTTTTACTTGATGAAATACTCTCAGCTAAAGTACTTCCTTATGGGAGTAAACCTCATGTGTCCCTAAAAAACAATAATAATAATAATAATAATATAAAGTATATTTTAGTTTAGGTGTGTCTGAGTGTTGATGACAGAATGGTGTGTATGGTGTGCCTTATACAGAGAGTACCACCCAGTATAACCAGAACAAGGTACAGTGTTACAGAAAGGAGGAGGAGGAGGTATTGTTCAGACCACCTTAAACCCCAGATCTTTGAGCATTGTGGTATTTCTTTAGACTTCAGTATCTGGTCTTGAAGCTGACCTCAGTGAACTCTGGTACTAGCGTTGCTTTTGTAGCTGCTCTGTTTTGACCTTCGGGCTGCAGTCCAGCTGTAGTTTCTCTCTTTTTTTTCTGCGGTGGTCGGTGGGAGTGTTCCTGCCTGTATTCAAGAGAAGATCTCTGGGTTATATGACGTTTTGTACATTAGGTACTTTCTTTGATTGTACTAAATAGGTGATTTACTTGTATAGTTTGTGCTTTCTTGTTTTCATTTCTTTAAAAAAAACACCTTAAACACTTGTTCGGAGCTGACTGTATGGAAAAAAAAATCTCAGAGAAGTTTCTCTAGCGGTTTTCATATGAATGAAAAATTATTTTCAACTAAATAGACAAGTATTTTTGCCGGCTTGAGTTTATTTTACATGAAAAAATAGAATAAATATATGATTGGTATCGTCTGTTGCAAAAAAATGTCACCTAGTATTTGAATGTTTTAGATTTTATTTTTGGAAAAAAGCAGAGAATATTAACAAATGTCCCATGTAGCCATTCATGTTGAAAAGCATTTGAAACCCTCGAATCGACATAAGCAGAGACTGATGCTTGCTTGTACACGGTACAATGCTAATTGTTGTTTCTGCATGTATGTTCTTGTATTTGTTGAATGCTATGATTTTTTTTTTTTTTTTGCTTACTTTTAAAGATAAAGTCTTTTTGTTGGTATTTGTTATTATTTCAGTATTTCGAACGCCATCAAATCAAAAATGATGGGAAGAGCATTGGGGATCACACAGTGCTTATTTTGCCTTGTATTGGATATTGTTGAGTTAAATGTCATCTGCCTTATGTTTTAAGAAGAAAACATTTCAACCTCGGTCAGTGGCTACTGTAGATATTACCGGTTAGTGGAAGAAATACTTGATTTGGCTGGCTGCTATTCGCCATATAAGCGCGGCGACCTTTTTCCTCTGGTGCAACCTTACAATATCTCGTACGTTCCCCGCTTAAGTCATGTTAGCTAGAAGGAGCATTAGAGGAAAAAGGCAGCTGTGTGGATGTGGTCGAGTGATGGTATGAAAAGCTTTAGTAACTGCGGTCTGCTTTACACTAATGTTGTGAAACGATGAAGAAGTGACAGTCAGGGCATTTGCATTTCACGGTCTGCAGGTTTGTGGTGAGATGCCCGACGCTTGTTAACAACAGACTGTAAAGTGGTCTAATTATTTATATCAGGTCTAACTGTCCTGTGATTGCAATTTTGGAGGGAGTAGGCGGTGACAGATCATGTAGCAGCTTTTACTGAGGTACTCAAGAGCGAGATCAACTCTGCAGAGACGTTAATATCCCTCCCTGTTAACCACACATTTGAACATTTGTATCTTCTCAGTGTAGTGACATTTTTGGACACATTACAGTAAAAAAAAAGGAACATTTCAGTCTCTTGTTTGGGTATTGTAATGACGATTAACTCTTCGATATGCCAATTACTGATTTTCTAATTCTGTGCACACTTGCATGTTCTCTGTGCACAGAAAACTGTCAGACACAACTGAGGTCAATCTAATGTGCTAATCATGAGTAACTTGGTACATCTGCACACAATGTATGCACTGTGAACTGAAAATAAATTATACTGTTTCATGCTGATGCATTCATGGAGTTTCTTTGTGATAAAATCACAAACTTTAAAAAAAAGGAACAAACTGACAGAACACTGTTTTATTGAACTGGACAATGTCTCTGCGTATGAATATCAATGGACTTGCTAACAGATTTGGCAAAAACGTGAACAGGCTACTCCTTTATTACAGAAACCCTGAATACATTTTCTTAAATTAATCGACATTTTCTTTGTCCAAGTGCCAACAATTCAAGGTTGAAATACAAATGAGTTTACACACGACATACACAGCAGTTTAGACAGGCTTAGCTTTTCTTACTACACACAACTTACCCTAAAAGAAACTGTTCTAAACTAGGAAGACTTCTCCTAAAGCTGTTCTAAATTTATTTCCCTACCCTTATAGCGCTAATCCTAATTCTGAAGGTCTAGTATTTGAAACATCTGTAGAAATACAAAAATAATCAACTTTTGATGCAACACAGAGAACTACTTGGAATGTTCGTGTCACAGATAAACATGGATTGATTGTTTTTTCCATTCCACTTAACCAAATCCCCTCCAAACAAAAAAAATGTTAATTTTCTGTGCAGCTGAAGTCTAATTAAAGAGCTCTGATGTTGTTCAACACTATAAAAAAAAACTTTTTTAAGCACCAGATTTGTGTTAATCCACCTCTAAAAATAGTCCCAAACAGAGGCATTAATCGACCCTGTTTGGGTCACTTTTGATGAAGAATTACAGTGTTTAGCTGTGAGAGGAAATCACTGAGCCTCTTTAACAATAAAATACTGTTATTGTGACCCATTATAGAAACAGTCCAGACAGAATCAGTGGTGTAGGGATGAATTAAGACACTTTCAGGAAGTCCTTGGTTGGACCTGTGAATAATAAGAAAAAGATGAGTGACAGTCTCGTTCTTCAAAGTTTGAGGAAAGTTCTGACACCTCTAGATTGTTTACAGACAAGAATTTTACACAATTTCTTCAGTTTTTCAGAGATTCTGTTAAAGTGCTCACTGGTCCACCAATCCTTATAATATGAATCAGGCCAAAAAAGAGAGAAAAAAACATAGATACATATTAATTATCCTGACCAGATATCTCTTCATTGTGATGAGTGTGCTGCTGGGCGCTGAAATAAGGTGCAAATCATTGGGATAAAAAAATAGGCAATAACAGCGTGTCAGGATCTCACACTTGCTCAAGCAAATGAAGAAAGACAAGTGCAAATAAAAACAACGGCACTTTGGGGGAATTTGTCCGGTTTGACTCATTTTAAAATCCAGTGTATTTCTAGCACCAGCCCATCATTAATACATGAACCACTGATCAGTCCCTGACTGTGTCTCATATGAGTCTCTCAATAGGTGGCGGCTGGATGATGCTCCACATCTCTACTCGTGAGCCCTCCTTCTCCTGCCGGCTCGGGCTGTAGGTGCCGTGGGTGGCACGGCGGTTGAGTGTCATCACCAGGCCGACAGAAGTGAAGATGAGCACCAGCAGCAGGACCACAGACGCCAGACTGATAGACAGCAAGAGGTCAGAGGACAAACCCTCCGAGGTCAACTGAAGGGAAGAGAAAATGAAAAAGTTTGCAGAAGATTATTGTGAGTAAAGAAGCTCAGCCGCAGGTCTGGTCTTGCTTTTCATTTCTGACTCTCACACACGCTTCTCCTTTCCTCTCTTCACTACACCAGCCGCTCCACGCGTGCTGCCAGAGTGCTGATGGATGTGTTTCCCAGCTCAGCAGGTGGAGTGCGACCACCAGGAGCCTGGAGTTGCTGGGGACTCAAACCTCCCTCCGTCTGCCGCCTCTCTCGCAGTTTGGCTGCAGCCAATGTGAGCCCAAGCATCACCACTATCGCCAAGGCAACCAGACATGGTGCCAGCACTGCCGCAACTCGCGAGCTGTATGGAGCACGCTCGGTCTGTGGAGGATCATACACACACACACACACACACATGGCTGCCTGATGATCCTGTTAGCACAAACACCACCAGAAAGACACCAAAACAAGCTAACACATGCACACACACACTCAAACACTTGGTAGAAGCTGCTTTAGATAAAAGCATCTTAAGTCTTTTTTAGGATTTCGATACAACAGTAAGTTCTGACTAAATAACTTCATGGCACAAGAGGCGTCCCACAAGTGCTGACAAAGAGTACGATGGAACAGGAACTTTTTACAACGGGTATTAATCCACTTTTTTTTAGAATAAATGTAATATCACACTGGATGTCATGCTTTTATTTTGAAAATCACCACACTGTGAGTATCATCTGTCACTGAATTATACTAACAATCAGGACAACAGCATCCTGTCCATCTTTAAATCTTGCTTAAAGGTGCAGTGTGTAAAATTAAGCAGAATTTAAAAGAAAAAACTTGTAGAAATGAAAATGGATATTTGTTTGAATTAGCGTATCATCATGTAAATATAAAAACATTTTGTTTTTGTCAACTTAAAATAAGTCTTTCATATCTAAAAATGGCAGCTGCCAAGTTTGTACGGCAGCAGAGAACAGACAAATTTGTTATATTCGTGTTTTTTGTTTTATTCATTTATGAAGGCGAAATTTTGACAAATGAAGAATCACAGGAACGTCTTGTCCTTAAAGACCACCATTGCTTCACCGATGGAGGGGTGAGCAAGGGAGAGCTTCAACCTGAGATATTGCTAAATATGACCTTTTCTACGCACTGTACCTTTAAGTGAAATCACATTTGTTCTCATCCTCTTCTCACACTTCTACTCTCTCTCTGTCTCTCTCACACACACACAGCTTCACCATCAGAAATCCCCCTGCATGCAAACACACTGATTCCTGACCTCACATGTCAAACCCAGAGAATGAACACGAATCAGAGCTTCCAGAGCAGCAGCAGGAGAATGATTGTTAACATTCATTAACCAGCAGCAGATGACAGAGCAGCAGATGGACTTACATCAGGAGTTGTGCTCGGTGTGATAGTGGTGACACTCTGACTGGCTGCCACAAGGTTACCAACAGCACACTGTTAGAGCGGAAATTTTGGCTGACGCACATCTCCATACCTAAAGCTCAACTTGTCAGGTTACACAAGACTTAGAAGTCAGCAAACTTTACACCGAGCAATCAACATGGAAACATAATTCTAATAAAAATACAACCATCCGTATCCCCAGGCAAAAATAACTCGACATAACACTTTCTTTCCTCCCTCGCTGCAGCTTCTTTGTTGACTCCTAGAAAGTGCTTACCTGTCACTGCAGCACACTCGGCTGTCAGAGCGAGTGTGACACAAGTGAGCCGGAGCAGCCTGCAGCCAGGACCCGCCATCAGTCACCCACACTCACACACACACTCAGACACAGTCACACAGTCACAGAGATGTCTAACTAACCAGTCTCTGAGGTACGCAGCAGGGCCACCCTGAAGCCTCTGCACATAGAAAGAGCGAGACGGCAGTGATGCTTCCTTGCTGTCAGCACTATCAACCTGCTCTGTGTGAATATATATGTGTGTGTGTGTGTGTGTGTGTGCGTGTGCGTGTGCGTGCGTGTGTGTGTGTGTGTGTGCGCCAGATAAGCTGCCCTCATATGTTTCTGTGAAGCACACCGAACTTCTGTGAATGCCACCAGCTCTCTGCTGAAACTGCACTTCAGCACCAGATGCTGCTTTTTTTGCTGGCAAAGCACATTTCCTCCTCCGCCTCTGCTCCGCTTGTCTTGCTCTCAAAGGATGGTCACATCAGTGCCGACACTGAAAAACTGATTCCCATTTCCTCCAACCCTCTCCTCACCATTAGAAATACCTGAGCTGGCTGAGGACACGCACTTACAGACACAGACGCACAAACAGTCAAGAAAATATGCAATGCAAGAGAGAGAGGGTCGGTGTTAGAAAGAGGAGTGCAGGTGCATGTTGACCACACAGTTTACTGTGAATGGATATCTAAGCATTAAATCAATTTAAATGAAGATTTTAAAAAAAAGTGCCAAAAACTGCAATTCCTCAAGTGGCCACTCGGAGCTGGCTCCAAATGAGAGTCAACCCCAACAGGCACTGCAGTAAAATTCTCACCATATATTTACAGCCTGTTTTAAATGAGTATTGGCCTTCCTAGTTTTCTTTACTGATGACGACTACATGTCAGTATTAATTGTTTATAACCTATCCATTTGACTAAGTTCAATGGCGCTATGGCCACTCTCAGTTACAGGATGGATGGTTCTAGCGGTCTGCTGGTCCCCATGGCATCCAGATAACATTTAATTCACATTTAATCCACTGGAAGGGCATCCAGAGTATTTAATTGACATCTATCTATTATAATTTGTACATTGATCATTTTCCTTTATTATCTGGTACATCTATTTCTGTTCGCTATTTCTGTTAGCCTCTTCCTCCAATAAATCAAAAGCCTTTGTCAGCAGCCGTCACAACAACAAACTCAATCTGCCAACCAGCTAACTCACCAATAAGCAATGGGCACTCATTGTTTGATATCTTAGTATTAGCTTCACTGTCTCTCATTTCTGGCCTCATAATGTTTTAAAGTAATGTAACTTCTTAAACAACACGGCAGAGGACACCAGCGGCTGACATCACAAGGCTTAGCCCATTATTTACACAAGCTGTTGTTAATCTGCAGCTGCAACAACCTCCCCTCCTCCAGGAAGGTTATTCACAAATGACACTAAGACTTTCTTCCATTCACCTACAAGAGCTTTAGCCAAGCCTCACATTGAAAGGTTAAAGGCCCGGGGTTGAGGTCAGGGCTCTCTGTGGTCTGGTTCAAGTCTTCCTAATAAGAATCTCAAGACCCTTGCTTTGTGCTTATGGCTCAACATGAACTCTTGAGTTGTCTAAATACCACAAGGATGTGGGTTTTTTCTGTGTTGTATGTGTGCGGCTACATGTGTGTCTATGAATTCAAGCTATTCTGGGATCTACTCATACAACATCCTGTTAAGAGAGATTAAAGCTCTATGTTTGGAGTCACGTTAGCCACCTGACTTCAACATGTCTGATCCTTTGGGCACAAACAGAGGTGGCAGAAGTGCACACAATCTTTACCTAAGTCTAAGTACAGATACTTGTGTAGTATATCAGAGGACTATGATAGACATAGAGGTACTGATTCAACGACTATACAGGTGTTAAAGTTAGTAGTGAGAGTATTAAAGTAATACCTAAATTATAAACAAGAATGTAGGACTATTACATCACTTTCAAATCAGGTCAAACCAGGGATCAAATTTTGAAAAAACAAACATGAAATGAGTCCCTGGATGTGACACTATTTTCGCTATTTTGCATCTAGCGTGTGTGATGTGCGTTGATGGTTACCCAATGAAATTATTTCCTATATTTTAGATCCAAATTGGCCTAAAAGTGGGACAGTTTGCCCACGATTTCATGAAATGAAAACAGATAAAAATATGTAATTAAAATAAAGCTGTTAGCTTGTGAAACTTGCAGGTACAACCCACTGACGAGAGTAGTAGAAATGAGAGGACAGAAGAAAAATATTAAAATTTTAAATCTGCATTAAGCTGAAGTTTGAGTGAGCAACAAATGAGCATTTATGAAAGAGAAAATTTATGAAGAGATGTAAAAAGATGTAAAACAGGAGAGACAACGGACGAAGGCTGATAAGATTTGTTATTTTTTATTTAACAGCAACAAAGACAGAGATGGAATCAAACCAAGACAGGACATGAGGACAGAATATGATGAAGGAAAGACAGGAAAACAAAAAGTTATGGTCGTACATGCATGGTGATAGCAGAGCTAGACTAAAAGACAGAGAAACACAGCCATGTCCACCCGGAAAAGAGGAGTGCAATGATTTAGAGTCATGACTTGTTTGACCGCAGCAGCAAGGTTCATGTTAGAAGGTTGTGCTCAAACAGAGCCGCAGAGAATTTTGACTTTAAGTATCTCCGCCTCATTCAGACACGAAACCACACACACGCACACGCACTCACACAATCACACACTCACAGCAGTCAGTCAGTGAGCATGATGCTCTGAACGCACAAAAGTGAGACATCCTGTCATCTTCCAGCCCCTTTAGGAGAACAACACAGTTCTCATGTTTTTCTGAACTGAGCTCCAAAATCTGGTTCACACAGGATACCTTCAGTGAGAAACATCATGAAGAACTTTTTATAATAATAACCTTTACTGCATCAAACGTGGAGGAGTTTTCAACTGAATTTCTCTGCATTCTTGGACATTTTATCAATCAACACAAGCGTTTTAAATGTTCTGCTCTAAGCCCAGAGAAATTATGGCATCTTTCTCTAATGCCACCTAAATATAAATTTTACTTATTTAAAATAAACATCTTTTTTCAGTAAGGTGCTTCTTATTTACAAGTATCATTTTAAGGCACAGAAACAGCTCAATGGACCTGTTAACCTGTCTCAAACTAGGGGGAACCCTAAAATGGGCGTGTACTGTCATGGACACGGGTACAATGTGCAGGTAACCACCTAGTTTTCTATGAGATATAATAACCCATAATGAACCCAAACACAGGCATTGACAGACTTGCAAATCCCACTCTGTCACCACAAAGTCTCACAGTCCCAACAACAAGTGCAAGCACAACAAACACACTCATACAAGCACACATTCAGTCGTCGCCTCCCCACTCTATCTCGGGCTCATCGTCCAGCCTGAGGATGAGGTAGGAGAGCAGCTGGAAGAGGTTCTGCCACAGCAGCACGGCCACGTAAAAATAAATGTCGCTTACGTCCGTCTGGCAGGTGTCTCCAGCGAAGCTCATGTCGCACACGCACACAAACTTGTTGATGAGGTTGCGGCAGTAGCCTCCGTTCAGACATGGGTTGGACTTGCACTCGTCAATTTCCTGTTCACACCTTTACAGACACAGAATCACAAAGTTAGAGACTTTTATGTTGAAGCAGAGTATTATTGTAATTTATAATTTATGGTTGCACCTCAGCTTTTCAGAATTATCACAGTATCATAGTTTGCTTAGTTTAACATGATATCAATATTTCATATTTTCATAAAATCAGTTACCTACAATGCCAATACATTGTGACAGCTTTAATATTTAAAAAAAGCAATCAAAATAAAATGGTCATTTTGACTGAGTTTAATACCTGCCATAAATGCAGATTAAATAAAAAAAATTAAGGTTTTATATGCTTAGAATCTACTCTGTTACAGAAATTAGTTGTTGACTTGATCATTTGTCAAATTCAAATATTTAACTCAACCAATAAGTGACCTCCATATGACCTCAGACCAAGTTTCTTTTTAGCTTTAATACGCAAGTTATCCTCTCTGCTACGTGCCAGTTATACCCGGAAGTCGGGATTTCCGAGCTCCGAGTCGGAAGTTCATCTGGACCTGAAGTCGGATTTCCAACTCGGACGATCCTCACCAATTTCGACTTGACGACAACGTCATATTCCAAGATGGCAGCTCAGTGCATCAACAATGAAGAGTAACAGTAAAAGCTCTCGTAATGTATTATTTATTCGCACTTCTGTTTTGTTTTTGTGGAATGAAATAAGTGGTATATGTTGTTCTACCCAACGTCTAACTGTGAAATCGGTGCTTTGGTGTTTGTAAGAGTAAAATACTGTGTAAGGCGTTCTTTACAACTAGTATAGCTAACAACGGCTAACAACAACTGACAACGGCTAACGACAGCTGACAAATGTAAACAACGGCTAACAGTAGGCGTCCATCTTGGTTTTCCAACTTGTTAATTGGAACGCCGTCAACTCGGGTGTAACGTTATTTCCGTCTCCGACATCCCACTTCCAAGGTAACTTGAACGCATATCTATTCACCAGTACTTGTGTTATGGCTGTTTTCCCCTATTTTATTCTATACTGGTCTATTTAATTCTGTTCTCTTCTACACCGTTTTTTTCTATTCTATAGACGGGTTTCTGTGCAACTTCATCGCAGGTATGCGCGCGCAGCCTTGGGGCAGAAACCGGAGTCAACGGAGAAAGAAAATGACAAGGAGCTGTTGTGCTGAAGCTGCACTAATCGGCAAAACAAACAATCGGCAAACATTACAACACTTCTCCTGATATTAGTAACATCTAAAATAATTTTGATGTGTGTTTGAAAAAGTGTTTTTCTGATTTTGATGCAATGAAGGACAAAGTGATTTTTCAATGAAATGATATTTTATGCAATTGTGTCAGTGAGAACTTGCAAACAATACGGCATCTTCATTGATATCAGTTCATCCTGAAGCAGGCTTTTGCCCCCTGGTTGGGCGCATCTACTATTCGTTATACACAAGAAACCTGTCTATTCTATTCTGACTAGTTCTATTCTTTTTCAATTTCTTTGAATCTGATCTTTTCAATTCTGATCTATTCTGTTAGAGGAGCCAGAGCTTGTTTAGATTTTTTTTTGTATGTCTGTCTTCACTTTTGTCTTTATTTAATGGTGTTCATGTTTGCTTTCTCTTACCGGTGTCCAGTGAAGCCTGGTGGGCAGTCACATGACAGCTCTCGTTCGGTGCAGTTGCCTCCGTTGAAGCAGGTGTAGTTTCTGATGTCATCACCACACACAGACACAGGCAGCTTTGGTCTTCTGGGGAAAGCATTCAGACATGAGGGAGGGTAAGAGTGCGTTGAGATCTTTCATTCAATGTAAAGATTCAGTATCAGAGGTAGGTTGTGTGCAGCAGAGTATGACGTGTGTACGTCTGCCGGAAGCAGAGGAATCAGCCGTGCCGTAGCAGTATTGTTCAGTTCCCTCCAGGGGACACAAAGAGGCTTAGGAGGGGAACAGGATAATAAGATTAAAGACCTCTGGCAACTATGCAGCAGCAGGATGTCAAATCCCAAGAACAGGAATGAAAAGGCCAACCATTTCTCCTTGCCCTCTATAACTATTCTATTTGCCTGAAGCACAGCAGCTCTGTTCAAAATGTTATGTATCTTTTGAAATTTATCCCTTAGCGGTTACAAAATACTAGCTTTTTTCCTCTGGAAAGTGTGCAGTTTTGGTGGGTGAAGTTTTAATTTTAGATGCCAGGAATCATTTTGAACTACAGCTGTCACTCATCTGAAACAATTTGTATCTCTCTTTAAAACGAGCAAAGTCACAGGGAGCGGTAATATTAGCTTTGCTTGGCATTTTGTCACATGCAGTTGAATACAAAAACAGGAGACATGGTACATGACATTTGAGAGACAGATATCTAACAGGAAACAAATAGCAAACACCTAGAGAAATAGAAAAAAAAAACAACTTACACACTTCTGACAACAATGTACCACGGAATTTCTTCAATGCGATCGCTGGAGAGGAGCGAAAAAGAAAGATGGGTAGAGGAGGGTAGGAAGAGACACACAAACAAGAGACACAAACAAAAAGAAGTCATTTTGATGAAAACTTTGCAGCTTAGATGCTCCCACTAAAGGGAGATGTGCAACTTGTCTTAGCGAGACACTTGCAAAAGGCTTTTCCTTGTGCAAAAAGAGGCAAAATGCAAGAGGCTGTGTGTTTACAGGATAAATGGTTGGAGGCGTTCCCCTGCTGGTTCTCCCAGGCAAACGGTAGATGACAGAGGAAAGAAACTGGCGCTGAACCAGAGAGCCGTGTGTAGTGAGACACAACAGCAGACTGAGGCCTTTTCTGGCTGACACTAGAATAGAAATGCAGCATCTGAGGCGCTCGCTGCAGGCGAGGTTGAAATGCTGAACAGAGGCAGAGATGTGGAGACATTTAAAGTGAAGGGTTTTGTTTTTTTGTGTTGTGGGGAGGCACCTTGTTTGTGCAATTTGGAGCATTTATTTGCGTATTTTGTATTTTGTCACTAACTAAGCTCCTGAAATCGTTCCACTAATCTTAAGAGGGTGAAATAGTTAGATGAGAAAATTTGATCTTTTGCTGCTGGTCTGTCAATCACAATAGAACGAGTATCTAAATTCTCTAAGAGTAGTATGGGAGGCAGTCCTTAGAAATCCGAACCCTCAGCTGTGGAATCATAAACCTATTTTGGAAGACGTCCTCACCACATTAGGTTTAAAACTGTCCTTACTGGTAAAGTGTCCCACTCCCACCATCAAATGCCAAAAGATGAGGATGCTTTTCGTGTGTTTATCCATAAAAATGTAATTTCAGGATGTATTTTCCAACACTCCTCTTACACAGGAAAGGGACCACTCTACATTTTGCAAATCTTCGTCTAACCCTAATCCTAACCCTACTTTCCTTTCTATCCACGAGTCTTACTTGCAGAGGGGTCCTGTGTAGTTCTCAGGGCAGAGGCAGGCATACCGGTCCGGCCCGTGCAGACAGGTTCCTCCATGAGCACACAGGTGATTCTCACACATATCCACCTCCTCCTCACAGTGCACACCCGCATACCCGACCTCACAGGTGCACTCATAGCTTAGTCCGCTCACGCTGCAGTTGCCGTGAATGCAGGGACTCGAGGCGCAGGTGTTGGTGTAGAATTCGCAGCGTCGTCCGGCCCAGCCCTCAGCACAGCTGCAGTTGTAGGTGTTGAAGAGGTCCTGGCACTCCCCTCCGTTCAGACAGGGTTTAGACTCACATAAAGGAGCACCGCTACACCCAAGAAGCACCGGATTCGGTGATGTCTGGATGAACTGCTCCTCCTGGAGGCGTGGGAGGTTCACATCAGAGGAGCTGAAGTACGGCAGAGCGATGCCGCCAAGCTCTACTGTGCCAAGACACCCAACTAGAGACCAGCCGGCATCAGGAGCCAGGCCACCTAAGAAGATGTCCACACCCTCCCTGAGGAAGTCAAGGTTGCCTCCTTTTCTCTTGGAGGTGCTTGCTTCTTCAATTTCTTCATCCAGCACCAGAGTCCAGCGGGAGGTTTGAGCCCAAGGCGCAGCCATGAACAGCTGGACGCTGTGCCACTCTCCGTCACTCACAGTCCTCCTGCTGCTCAAACTGACTGTAGACACACCTGACTCTCCTCCTTCCTCTTCTTCTTCTCTCTTATCTCCATCTGTGCTCTGTAGCTCCATGAAAAGGAGACCATCCTGGACAGAGAGGGTGAGGAACGCTGAGTCTTTCTCTGCGTGAAGGACGGCAACGTTACGCCTCCGTGTGCGCAGGTTTAGAGAGAGGTTGGTCAGATTTCTGGCTATTTGACCATTTCCCTGAAATGTCAACACAGTGCTTTCATTCAGGAACGTTGCATTGGAGTAGCCTAGGAGATAAAAGAGAGAAAAATGACACTTAACTCTGACTTTTAACGTGACGAGGGATTGAGCTGGAGCGCTTATTTGAAATTGAAATAGCCTCAACACAGCAGGGGTTACACAAATGTGGCCTTTAGTCCTTTGGTAACCTTTCAGTCTTTTTAACAGATTGATCGAGGTCCTTAACTGTGAGGAGCAACTATCCTTAAAGAGTTAATCACTGGACATGGGGTGGCTTACAGGACAGACGGGCAACACCGCAAATCAGCGCTAATCCCAGCAAAAAAAAAAAAAAAAAAGGATAAGCTGGCCACACGCCAATCCCGCTTTACGGAGCACACACAGTATACTGTGTGGGAGGATTAAGGCCAGTAAATGATCAAGCATGTTGTATCACTCGGTTACATGGTGGCCAGTTAAGTCTTGTACACAAACAAGGTCAAGGGTTGGGTAATGCAGAAATAATAGAAGGTAATAGTTAAAGTGCCATGCCTTGGTTTAAGGGGTTTATGCAGGTCAGAAATTATGTTGAGTAGAGACTTTGTGATATTCTTTTCAATATTGTATTGTTGCAGGATGAGCGTTTTTGTTAATTGAATACAAGTAAATAATTTCCTCAAGAGAAGTAAATTACAGCAACCAAAAAGCAAAAATAGAGAGATATTCAGATGCAAGATCTTTTTTTAAAGATCTGACCAAAAGTTTTTGTCAGCCCAAGACTTAAAGCTCCTGTAAGGAACTTTTGTTTTTGACTCACTGATGTGGAGGAACCTGAAACGAAGACAAAGACCTGACCTGTAAAATCTTGGATACCACTTACACTCATATCCCTGGTTCAGCATCCTGCACTCTGCATCCATGGGGCAAGGAGACAGCTCACACCACCTGACCTCCTCACAGCGCCGCCCTGCTGTCCTGAGTGGGCAGGTGCAGCTGAAGTCATCCCACATGGAGTAGCACAAGCCTCCGTTTAGACAGGGGTTCCTCTGTGGATGAAAAAGGTGCAAAAGTTTACTTTCACTTTCATTTTCCTTTAAATGAATAAGAAATAAACTTTACAATGTGATGTGTTGAATGGCTGTAAGTAAGATCTACTCTAAATGTTCTACATAAATGAAAATACCGTGAGTATTGTTTTACTCACACTACAGGCGTTGTCTCCTGAGCATCCTGAGGTCACATTTCCCATGAGCTTCAAAGGAAAAGATTGTACTGATGTGTCCAACCCAAAGAACTGCAGCCTCCTGCCGCTGATCCTCAGGTCCTGGATGCAGCCTTTGAAGTATCCACCAAACACCGAGGTGGTCCTGCTCTCCAGCAGACCCCCTACATACACAGTATCTCCTGCTTTTACCTCGACAGTCCTGCCTTCTACTGCCCCCTGTTTCTTATCTGCTACGTACAGAGTAATACGGTCCCTCTCCATCTCCACCCTCACAAAGTGGACTTCCCCGTCATTGATCGCACCCTCCGCCTTCAGGCTCTCAAAGTTGTAAAGTTGAACGGTGACCCTGCCGTCCTCCAGCCACACATGAAGGTACTGACTGCTGCTGTTGGCGAGCGCCAGGAGGAGTCCGTTGTGTCTCCTTGTGCGCACGAAGAGGGAGACTGAGAGGTTGTGACTGAGGTCATCAGTGACAGTGAATGTGGCGTAGCTTTGAGAGTCCTCGTTTCCAAAGCGTGCAGTCACATGTTCTGCAAAAAAAAAGGACAAAATGAATGACTAAGACAAGAAAACTTTTGAAATCTCTCTGGCAGAGCAGCATAAAAAAGTGGTTGACTCTACTTCTAAAAGTTTTCCATGTGAATAAAATAATCCAGCGTACGGTAAATCTGTGAGGTGGAGCAAAGAAACATTTGCAGGCCTGTTTTTGTGTCAAAAACAAAGAAAAGTACAAAAGAGCAAACACCTCTTAATCTCCTAGACTTCTTTTTAAATACTATTGTTCTTGTTACAAATCTGGGATTTTTCCATCTGTACTGAGCAGTGAAGGTTATTTCTTGTTTAAAGAGAAGCGAATTTGGGTTTTCTTTTCTGCAAAACTCACAAACTGGAGGCCAATAGAGCTGAGCAGTTTCTGCAGAGGAAGCACAGGAAGATGAAATCTAAGCAGCCATCAGCCCTCATGCTCTGTTTGGTCTGCATCAGCACTTTCCACTGTGGATAAGAAATCTTCAGTGTGTCCATGTGTCGAAGTTCAAGTGTAAAGGTGTGTGTATTAGAGCGCATGTGACTAAACATGTGGCGCCATCAGACACTGATCAGTAATCTGCTTTAGTAGAGGTTATCGAAATCTTCTGTCTAAAAACAAAACTGTACAACACTCCAAGGAGACACTGGAGGGAAAATTACAAACTTTTCTCTTTTTTCACTTTTCATTTTGATTCTGATGAATTTTCTCGGTATCAAATAGTCTGATAAAGCTCCTTCACCTCTCTGTATCTGCTGTGTATATCCAAAATAGATTCTCTAACATCCTTAATCCAGCGCGTCAGATAAGAGGATCTCTGTGACTTTTGATTGGCCTCACCTTAACCCCTCCCCCCTTTATCTTCTTTTACACATGGGCACAGGGAATGTTTCCAGTTCGCCTGATTAAAAAAATTGATTAGAAGTGCTCTTACCTCGAATCTTATTAAATCAGGTTATTGTAAAGCTTTAAGACTGTGGTTAGTCTCATGTTTGATTTTGGTGACTACAAATTGGAAATGTTCTCTTGCCCTTTAAGTTTGAATACCTCATCGAATCTGATTCGAAAAATCTGTCATCTCATTTTTTACAGTGTTGCTGCCTTCTTAATTCTGATAGTCCCTGTGGAAGTTTATCATTTCCCTACCCTCCTCACAGTCCTGGCCCTCATAAGGCCTTGGACATCGGCACTGGTAGCTCTGCCACAGGTTGACACACTCTCCTTTGTTTTGGCAAGGCACATCCAGGCAGCGGTCCCTGTGGCTGCAGCCCGGGGACACATTAACAGCAGAGTCACTCAGCCACTCCTCAGGGACAACCAGCTGCCAGTCCACAAACACATCACGCATGCAGCCAATGAATGCCGGGAGCGGGGCGTCCTCACTGGGGCCATCTGAGTCCTGAAGCACTCCTCCAATGAAAGTGTTCTGAGGAGGCGATGCCAGGCCGGCCACGGTGCTTTGGACTGGGGCCTGCTTGTGGCACGACCGGCTCCCACAGCTCCCTGACTCGTCCAAGAGTTTCAGAGAAAGCACCCAGTTTGTGAGCACAGCCTCTACAGAATGCCACTCTCCATCTGTGACGTTGTGAGGAAGCTCCAGGACCTGGATCGGGCCCTCTATGGAGGCCTCCTTTCTCAGTGCGAGCCTGAGCTGCCCTTCATCCAGCTCCAGCCTCAGCAGGAGTCCCCTGCTGTTCCTCTGGAACAACACAGCTCTGGGTAGAACAGTCTTAAAGCTGAGGGTGATGTTGCACGACACCTCCGCATCCACCAGTGGGCTCTGCAGCAGTAGGTAGCCTTTGCGTTCAAAGGAGAAGGTGGTGGGGGTCTTACAAAGTGGTCCAGTGTACCCAGGGGAGCAGGAGCAAGTGTATCCGTGAGTCCCGTCCAAAAAGAAGGGAGAGCAGGAGCCTTGGTTTTGACACTCATGTCCTTCACAGCCAACGAGCTTCATGCCACAGGTCAGGCCTCCATACAGGGAGCCGTCATGACGCTGGGTGAGGCAGTGGCAAATGTAGCCCCCAGGGTGGCTCTCACACCTGCCCCCATTCTGACAGGGACTGGATTCACAATGGTTGATCAGCTCCTCGCAGAGGGAACCTAGGACAAGAATATCATTGAGTTACTTAGCAGCGTTTGTATTTTTCCCAAAACCCTGAAGAAACGGCACCAAAGAAGAAGTCCTGCTCCTGTAGAAACACTGTGAGAGGCGTGTTCTCTGAGGCCTGGTTTTTCATAACTCTGCCTACTTAAGGGGAAATCACTCTCACCACGACCAATGGACCAACCTCAACCTCATTTATTTCAGTGTAACATGCACACAGGTGATGCAATGATGAGAATGAAGCAAAACACGAAATTGTTCTTGCATCTTAAAATGTCTGCTCCTTTGGGTTTCATGTTTACTGCACATTTAAATCCCTAATGGCATATCGTGTGAAATCAATGTGAAAACACTCCAGTGCCATGCAAATCAAGCCTTCCACAACTGCCTGATCTACATTGATGACAGTATTTCACTTTCTACATCATGCACGTACCATCATACCCAACAGTTGTGAGTCAATGAAATAATGAAATGTTAAAATGGCAATCTGCATTTAAAGTTAGTACAGACCTTCTTATATGGAATAACAACAAAGGACACGGAGCAGTGCAGGAATCACAGAACAGTTGGTGTATTATGGCTTCACATATAACAGCCATTAACTCATTAGTTTTATGTTATTCAGAAGAAACAGAGGAATCGAATGTGTCACACTCATACTAAGTACCAAGCTACACAATTCTAATGTTACCTGTTACAAGCAACAAAATCCCCCAAATCCATGGAGCAGGTGTCCACATCATGCCGTCAGGTTTTCCCCCAGGTTAGCCCTAAACTTGTCTAACTGCACCATATTATTTGATGTTTGTACAGGCCATCCAACTGCCGCTCTGCTCCTCGTCTTCTTCTCCTCTACAACCACGTAGGGGTTGAGTGGCTCCAGTCAGGAGGCCGGCAAAGCCAGATCCCGGGGATTAGACTAATGCTATTTGGCCACCTTACTGAGTCATTGCCACTGCGACTGGCAGAGAGTCAGTTTTTAGAACACAACTCTCAGCAGGCAGCAGCTCACGGTCTTACCTTCACGGCTAGATCAAGTCTTGTGTAAGCAGGAAAAGTGGTGTCTGCTACTTTTGCAACAGAAAATAATGATTTTTATGTAACAAACTCATAAAATCACAAAGTTTCTCTGGACGTCAATGCACCGACGGTATACTGTGATTGTTGTAAGGCAGAGTATTATCATTTATATTACCTGTAGACCACATTTCCTTCACCTAAGTGCTTATTAGAGGTAATGGATGGTTCCAGCAGTCCTCTCACAAAGGCATTACACATCCATGACAGTGGCGAGATGAAAACAGCTTTACAGTAAGGCTCAAATTAAAGATAATACATGTGCTTCTGTGCTTACAGCATCTTTTATATCTCTGGAAAGAAAAACCTGATTCATCCACTCGGAGGCGCCAAAATCTAAAAATGCCAAATCTGCTCAGTAGTAAAGGGTGTATTCACTATAATCTGCACAGGTGCCCCTGAGCAAGGCATTAAAGAGCAACACATCACAGTGTTCATCTGTGTGCCACCTTTTATTCCGTCTTCCTCTAGTAATGAATGTCAGTATATTAAAGCCTATTTGTATAATGATTTAACACCTGAGTGTCCAATCTTGAAGCTGATTTTATCAAAGCTTTTTCAGTTTTTGTCCAATTTGGTGCCCCCTGTGGACAAATCAGTCATTGCTTATCTTGTCTTCTACCTGCTTTAATAATGTTGTCTGAAAAAATGTCATCCTCCTGACTTTTCTCAGTCAAATGTATCATTTATTATTAATGCAGTATTTGGAAATTCTAAAACACGACTGTTTCTTTATCTGCTTGTCTGACACCTGCCCCCTCACACCAGTTTTAAGCATTCAAAATCAAAATAAAAAAATATTCAGCACTATCACTGATGGTCTCTGTCTGTTTTTGAGTATTATAGAAAAGCAACAAAATGAATTTCAGGCTGTTTCATTAATGTCAAAAGCTCCTCACGGGAGCTTTAAAATCAAAAAGAAACACAACATTTAATACCGTCTTATGTGGTTGGACTTAGTAAGCCTTAACTTTGCCCAAAAAGAAGTTAATGACTGAGTTTTAAAAAACTACACGTATGTAATATACAGAGAGCACTGAATCTTATCATATGAAGTTTTAGCAAATCACTCCCATCAAAAGTAACCTGTTCACCCTTATGTTGTGCTCACTATAATCTGTGCAATCCCTCAGATTAGGTGTGCTACCTGTTGTTCCTAGAGGACAGCTACAGAGGAAGCCTGCAGCGTTCTGTGGGTCATAGCTGTCAGGCAGCAGAGGCTCACTGCCGTACAAGGTCAGCCACGACTTCTCAATGCAGCGGCCTCCGTTCATGCAGGGGTGGCTATCACACTCACTGATGTCGATTTGACACTGGCGTCCATTGAACCCTGAAATGAGGACATAAATATATTTCTCTGACAGGATATTTCAGATTATCTGGTCAGGATCTTGTCTTTTTGCTGCAATTTTATATTCCTTTAACTTTCATGTGTTTGCATGCATATAAACAGATTCACACACACAGTATGATGAGTATCAAGATCTGCTTCATGTACCTGGCTGGCAGTTACAGGTGTAGTTACTCTGGTTCTCCTCACAGATGGCACTGTTGAGGCAGGGTGCAGAGTGGCACGGTGGAAGTGGTGTCTCACAGTATCTGCCGGTGAAGGCAATGTGAGAGCAGTCACAGCTGAAACTGAGACAAATGAGTGTCAGTAACCCTGTACCAGTTCAAATAAAATGTCAAACGAATCTGTGTCATTAATTACACATCAGTTTTGCTTTTTTAAACCTGGCAAGAGTTTAAATTTCTCATTTCCATAAGAAGAAGCTAGACTACTTACTCATTCACCCCATCTATACACAGAGCCCCATTCTGGCATGGCTGCTCTTGGCACTCATCAATGTTAATCTCACACTGTTGTCCTTGGAAACCGGACACGCAGGTGCAAGTAAAGCCACCGATGTGGTCATGGCAACTGCCACCGTTGAGGCATGGCTGTGATTGACACTCATCAATCTCCAGCTCACAAGTGGGCCCTGTGGACATCAAAGCAGGGCAGATGTCAGAGGGCGAGGGAGCAAGCTCCACAGACCGAGGGCAGGGGGCAAAAATGAACAGAGCTTTTATGTGAACCGGCTGTGGACTGCTTTTATTTCACCGAGAGGCTCCTGCAGGTGTTTGCAATTCTTTACCACTTCAGATCACTTTAAAATAATCACAAGTCCTAATGTACTCTCACATAAAAACAAGAGTCTGCTGCTCTTTGGAGGGGGCACTTAAAGCTCATGTGAGGAACTTTTGTCTTAACTCTTTGCTGGACTTGTTCTGTTTATATGTTTGTAGTGTTTTGCTTTTTTCTAATTGCCAAATGTATTCCTTACTGTACATTTTTGCAGTGGAAAATGTAGACGAAGGTCTGTCCTGCAGTGAGCTGTGAGTAACTTTATGTGACTTGGAGCTAAAGGCAGTGTGAAAAGACTTTAATCTTACAATAACCCTGTTTTTATGGTCTTTACAGCAAAACAGTAAAAAGGTAAACAGCAACCAGATTGGTTATTTCTTGACACTGAATTTCTGTGCCCGTGTTCAGGATAGTGGATACTGGGCATCTATTTTTTATTATTCATTTATATCACATCTTTACAAGCGTTTACAAGTAAGGATGTTCTGAAGCAACTTATAGCAGCCCTCCCTGCTCATTAATGTCTACATGTCTGTTTGTTATGCATCCCTCCAGCTAAATTAGCATCACACACCCTGAACACAGTTTAATTACATTTTGTATATCAAGAATGTGCCAAACTATGCCATGCTACAAGAGGCCACAGTATTGAGTTAGCATCTTGGCTACAGAATTACCAGTCAGTTTAACACATTTTGAATTGTTGGACCACAATAACATTTGTTTGTCGTGAATAAGAGTTTAAATTTTGGTTAAAGCAACTATGAATTGAGACACTTTAAAACATCCCTAATTTTGCAACAACCCACAGCTGTTAACTTCTTGAAAAAAGTCAGAAAAAAGTAGGCAGGGCTCACAAGAAATTGGTCTACAAAAGTTGACGGCAGCAGCAGTTTTTGAGATATGTCACTTTAAACAGTAATGACTGACATTTATAGGCTATGAGCATCAACGCACAATGACCTGATGGGATGTTTTTCAACCATGTGTATGATTTGAAGACCTGGCATGTGTTCTCGGTACTCACCAGTGAACCCCTGAGGACACCGACAAGAAAATTTGCCCACTTTGTCCACACAGGTAGCTCCGTTTCTGCAGGGCTGTGAAACACACTCGTTCACATCGATCTGACAGTGAGCACCCTGAAAGCCAGGCACACAGAAGCACGAGTAGCCGTCCCCGCGCAGTCTGCAGATCGCCCTGTTCTGGCACGGGTTTGGAGAGCACAGGCCCACTGCTGGAGGCAGCGTCTCAGGACACACACCTAAGAAGAGGTCACATAAAGTCTTTGTTTACAGTAGGTTGAATAAAAGTGGCATTTTCATTCTCCCTGATAAAAAAAAAACAATGCTTTTTACTGATCATTAACCAACAAGGTATCAATAATTGTTTGAATTATCAATACCTAAATTTACAGCAATTCAAATGAATTTACCAGACATTCTCAATTGCTTTTTTTATTTTGATTGTCTTTATTTGAAGCTGCCTACAATCTATTTATCTCAGATAAAAACACTGTCAAGCACAAGGGCTTGAAATTTGAGGGCCTCTTGAGGCGTCATGGCCGGCTGCCGTGGTAACCAATTCCAGTGTTTACTCTCAGCACTCGAACTATTTCCATGGTGACAGCATCCGACTGAAGATTTGAGGCATTAACTTCTTAAACACTTCATGGTGTGTTTTGATCAGCAGGGCATTAATGCTACACAATCACTGCTCTGGCTTTATGTCTCATTAAAATGAGTGTGTGCTTCACATACTAAGTAGAGGATCAAGATTGGAGCCTACAAGAAGTGCTAATAACTTCTTCATGTATGACAGTAATGATGTGTTCTTTATGTGTTCAGATGTCTGTTTTAGCTAGTTTGATCAATTTGATGTTGATTACAAAGAAAAAGTAATTATCAAAACTTTAAGTTGTAAAAACATTGTACTTTTGCACAATCGCAGTAGGATCGCATTTTCTACAAAAATGGCAGCGGATTTCTCAACTTGTGATGAATTTCTGCATTTCAGGACAGATTTAGCTTTCATCTTTTCCTCTTAAAACCCTTAAACCTCTTAATTAGTTTCTCCAACTAAAAAAAAAACATTCACAGTATGAGTGTTTTTATCAATGAATCTGTATCAGGGTGTTTCAACACGACACTACACTTTGGTATTTCATCTTTATACTGTTAAAGATACCGAAATCATCGAAGATTTATACAACAAATATTCTGTATTTTTTATTTGTTCAAAATTTCAAGGCTGCACAAAAAAATCTTGATTGCAACCACAACTTTGTCCTTTATGCAGTTAAATAAACATGATTAAGGCAATTATCTTTGTTTTAAAAGTGCCCACCGAGCCTGTCTAAAACTATGTGGTTGTAGATTAAAAGTAGTATTCCAAGAAATGCTTAATTTAATTATGGTTACATATTATTTTCTCAATGCATATTACCCAACGAAATCCTTCTCCAGCCCCACTGTTCTTCAGTCTTTGTGTGACTCCACTGATGACAATATATACTGTACACTTTTTCTTTTCTAAAACCAGTTTTGTTTATTAATCCCAGTCCTCACTGGGGTCCAGACTGGATAACGTTGCACAAATTGCTGAAGACAGAGCCATTCTTCACAGTTTCAACAGCAGTTATCCACAATGTGTGACACTTTTGACTTTGGATGAAACTATTTTATCTGACAGTAACTACTTTGGCATCTTGTATCACAGTTAATCAAAGCGGGAGGATGCAGGTGCAGACACCATCGTGATTTATTCACAAAAAACTCAAACAGAAATGACAAAAGGCTTACTGGTACAGAATCCAAAATCCCAATATTTAGAAGAAACCATAAGAGGGGTGGGGTGAAAACCACAAGAACACAAGGAAAGATTGATGCAGATCTGACAGAGAGGGAAGGCAACACGGTGATGAAATACATAAATAGAATTCCTCTCACATCAGTTTTAAGACAGAGTTTGCTGGTCTTTTGAAACATTATGATATAAAGAGAAGCATCGACTAGTTTGCCATGTCAACCTGTTTTATTGCAGCACTTTGACTAGAAAATAAAATAAAAACCTTCTTCTTGGGAACCTCAAAACGGAAACTGCATTTATTTTCCCGTTATATTTTCTGACTTTCAAATTGTAAATCATACCTCTGAGGAGATATCTTCTTTACACAGGCTGGAAAACATTCAAAAACAACAAACGGGACCATCTGAGCAGCAATAATCCTTGGAATCCACGAGATATGCATACGGGCACAGAGAGATGTGATGCCACAAAAGGACACTAAAATCAGCAAGAACAAGTGTGATTGTTTCGAGGAGGTAATCAGACAGCACCACTTCTCTAAAAGCCTTGAAGGCAAAACGCAGCAACTGGATGGACACAGAAAATGTGTTTTGCGTGATGAGTCTACATAATCACTGGGTGTCATTCATGTCAGGAGCCACAAATGACACTAAAACTGAGGAGATGTATTCAAATAATATTTCTCACAGATAATACACGCAGAGTAACCAAGTCTAAAGAGCGCAATCAGGATAAGTGCAGACTATAGGGATGTAGAGGAGTGCAATTACTCTTGCTGCTTCATCTTCAAAAACTCAGGCACTCATCTTTTGTCATTGGTGGAGGTCAGCCAGAATTCACAGACAGTGGGCTGAAGCAGCTTATACATGTCTAGACTTGGACTTGGGGGTCTGGGGGTGTGATAGAGATCATGGGAGTCAGTTGTGGTGCTCTGACCACATGCCTTCATTAGACATCACAGCAGCAGTTCATAGATTCAGACCAGACTAGAGGGACACGTCGCAGCAGTTCTCAGCAAATGTGTCTGCACATCATACAAATGTTCTAATCGAAAGAAAATATATGACCATTGCTGTGTCTTTTCAAGAAACCATAACAGGTGGTCCTTCGGTCTCGCCTTGAGGCAGATTTCAGAGGATTCTGATCCTGCTGCCTATTTGAGACACATCTCCAGCCAACCACACATCCCCTCCCACAGCATGTAAGGCCTTTTTCATATGCTAATCACTCCCAAGAGTCTTTGTCTGTTCCTATCTGGAGGTCCTCCAATGGCACATGTGGGGCACCTGACATCTCCTCTGGACTGATGCTTGCTGTTGGTGTATCTGTCTGTTTGTTTCAGTGGCGATAACAAGACTTGTTATCTGTGACTGTTTTTAGGGTTACATAGCCATATAGAGCCTCCCCCTGTTTGTTCAATCACTCATCCTCTCCTCCCCCCTAATCTTCACATCCTCCACATGGGTCACTAGTCCGCCCCCTCCTCATTGTTGATCTCTTTCTGCCATCAGTCAGTCCAAAGAAAATGAGTTAACATCACTATAGGCAATGATGTCACCTCATAGTCTTAATTGATATTCCAAGCATGGACTGGCTAAAATGCAGGCCAATTACTTGACTCAAATTCACAACATGCAGGCAAGTATCCATTTGTAAACTACTCAGCTAATCTCCAAGGTTTACGGAAACCTCTGCAAGAAAACTGTAGATCAATTCAGTCGGTTGATCTAACATGAGATACAAAAATGAATCCGGATAACTGATTATTAGCTGACTTTCAAAATCATAAAGAATCTAAACACTGATTTAGGTCAACAATAACAGATACCACTGTTTCAGTCACAATATAAATACAACGCAGAATAATAGGATGATACTTTTCAGTGTATGTTGGATATGTGTAGACAAATTGTAAAATTAGGTGCCATGACTACTGAAACTTTTATATTACATAAATAGAAAAAAACTCAATTTCATCTGAGCTCTCCGTATCCTCTGACCACTCAAAATGACCTGCAAATGACCACAATCTTTACTTGGTAATGTTATTGTGCCACATTTTGTGTGTTTAGAAAACCTACAGCAATTTTACTGTGCAATAACCAATTATCCACTGAGCATTTTTTGGTCTAAAGTGGTCTAAATGTAGCCTAGATGACTGGTCTACAGTCAGGCTACCACGGGTCAAAAAATTGAGATCAAGTTTAGACTAGCCGGCAAACAGAGGCCAACAATGTATATTGCTCAACAGCTATCAAAATTATTTTGGTTAATTACTTGGAGATCAGTTATGCAACTCACATTTGCTTTTTGAAATAAATAGTTATCCAATAATGGGTTAAAGTGCAACATCTAAAATCCATCTAAAAATATACAGAATCTAGATGGTTGAAAATAGGTCTAAAAGAAAAACTAGACATCTAATAGCCATCTATTGCTCAGTGTGTATCAAAAAGTAAAAGGTAGCTACCTTGTCTGATCTTGTCTTATCTCATTCTTCACATTCACCAATAATCACACATAAGCTCACTGATGACAAATGCTGGCAAACAGGTGCCAAATTGCCTAAACTGCTAAAGCTAAATCATTGTTTAAGAACAAATTCAGTCTAATTCTTCATATAGTATTTGGGGTTACGTGTGTCAGCCAAAGAAAAGTACACTAAGCTGCAGAAAGTAGAAATCATACATCTGACCTTTCTCAGTCCTCTACCTCAAGCTACATCTGCCCAGTCCCAACACTTCTATACAAAGAAAATGATCAATACAAATGTTCAAGTCTTGATGCTTTGACTTTAGATCAAACCAGACAACACTGCTATTCCTTGGTTTGAAAGATTTTATTATACTTTAATTAATTCAAGGGATTTGTCTGTAAATATATAACTCGTGTGTTGAATCGGTGTCAAAATTTGAGGCCAATATGAAATCCATAAGTTTCGTTAATTGAAGAGTCGTTAAGGATCAAAGTCGAATGGTCCGATTCACGAAAAACAGCCGAAATTCCCACCACTAACAGCTAAAACTCCACTCAAAGCCACGTGAGACAAACAGCCACTTACCATGTATCACAAACAGTGAAGCGATGAGAAAAGTCCGTGCTAATAACTTGAAGTAATCAAAGCAGCGTGTTACATCCATAATCGTGCTGAGAAATCATCCTGCTCGTTGTGTTGAGGTCTTGTCATCCTTCTGCGTCTGCATGCTCATCTGGTGTCAGCTCCAGATCCACTTGATGCGCACTAGTCCTCCTCCTGGAGCACCGTCGAGAGGCTCCATCACACATGAATAAAAAGAGAGATGAGCATCGAGCATTGAGCTCAGCAGCACCCCTCCCCCTCCCTCATTTTCTCTGAGCTGTAAGAGGGAGGTACATAGCAGAAGAAAAACTATCCAATAACTAATATGGATTTTAAAAAATTTCAATATCAGAGCAATAGAAGAATAAAAGAGGAGTTCAAGTACCTGGGAATCCACTTCATAAGATCAATACCCAGATTAGAAAAGAAGAAAGTGGGGATGAGAAGATCCATGTTCCTGAGAAATGCTAATGAGGACCCACCCCTGACAGGTGCAGGAAGATGTTGAAAATCTATTACGAGTGTGCTGTGATCAGTGCAGTCTATTGTACTTTGCTGTAACCAGCTGGGGGAGCAGGTGATGTCAAGAGACAATAAAGTGATTAGGAAGTAATCCCCACTTGGCTGCAAACCAAAACATTTGAAGCGTTGATAACATGGACAATGAGCCAAATCTCTTTGATTTCAAAATTACAGATAACCAAACCAGACTATTTGTTTCACAATCTGAGTACACTCTCCTTTTGACCTGTCCACTGAGGCCACCACAAAGACAGACAGATTAACCCACCTTAAGCAATAAGAGTAAGATGGATCACCTCAGTGGAACTGGGTACTTTCACCTTAAAGTCAGCCTTAATCAAACAGCAGACTTATCTGCTTCAGTTTTGCACGTGACCTACGGACATCCACACAGAGGGTGCCCATCTTATCCGGCTTATCATGCTGACAGCTAATTCAAGGCTAAACATGTGTTTTCAAACATTTCTATTACGTATTCTAAGAGATTATACGATATTTACAATGATAGATACGATGACAATGTTTTTCTTAAATTATTTTCGATATGCTCTGATCTAAATGTTTCTGGTGTTTCATATTTCTATCGTAAAGTTTTTTGTAGTCTAAATAAACTATGACAATCTATCAATCATCAATCAAAGACAAGAGGTAAACAGAAATGAGTGTCACTGAATAATTAGTGGTAGCCTCCAGAAAAATACATATTTTGAATAATGTTGGTGGCAGCTAAAGAGGCCATCACCAGAAACTGGCTAAAAACAAATGCACCAAAAATAGAGGATTGGGCACAGGTAATGATCGATATACTGTATAGTGTAGAATGGAGAAGCTGACTTTCTCATCTCGACTAAAAACAGATACTACAGTTTATGGAATATTGATATGAAATCAATAAAAAATAAAATAAAATAAAGAAATCAATGTGGGAACAAAATTGAAAAATTATAATAATGCAACTTAAAAATTATTTAACAATATTTAAAGTTGATATCAAATACGCTTATCTAATGGTTAATATTAGTGTTTCGGTCATTGGTGTTAGGATGTGATAAAAGACAGCTAAAAGCATCAATGATTAAAATAATAACAATAATAATAAATAAATAAAAACCAAACCAAAAAAAAACCCATTTCCTGTCTGGGGCGAATGGCGCCAGACGTTTCCCCGGCAACGCTACCAGGAAGTAGACGCTCACAGGACAGTGGAAGAGACGGTGTGTTTTTGCTTTGTTTTGCGATCATAACTCCGTCAAAGTTTTAGATATTTGTTGCAGAGACTTTCTTTTGAAACACCCACCACACGTTCAAAATGTCTGCGTCCGTGAGAGCCAGTTCAGCTCCGAGTTCAACGAGGCCCGAGGGAGAGCACGACGGCGCAGGCGACGGTAACTGAGCAACCATACGGGGGGGGGGGGAGCTTCCAAAACTGACAGCAAACAAACAGACTATACACTAACAAAACAGTAGATTATGTTCGGGAAATGTTTATACTTCAGCGGTATGCTTCACTTTATCCACCAAAAAAGAGAAAAAAACAACAGAGGAATGTAAGGATATTAGTCCTAATGTCAACATACGATTTCTTTTGATTCAACGAATTTGGGGTTAGTCCTATAGGGGAGACTGTGGTATATTGAGCCAGCCCCTGTTGCTTGGAAATGGTAAAAGAAATTGATCATGTGACCAAATATTAAGGAGATGGGCATCAATACATGGAGTCTGTGAAGGTTAGAAGCACATGGGTGAAGGGGTTAGACATTTATTTAAAAAAAAAAAAAAACATTTTTCACTCTTGAAAGTGAATTTAGTCTGTCATAAGTTTTATTAGAACTGTGTTCAGACCAAAAAAGATCATTTTAAATTTGTTTTATACATCAATTGTGGTATCTATGAGGAGGTCAAAAACCTAGAATAAAAGTCCACCGTTTTAGTTAAGAGGAATAATAAAGTCATGATAGTAGTTCAGGGGTAAGTAGAAGAAAGTAGTCTGATGAGAGGATCAGAGTTTCAGTTCAGATTGTTGAAATGTGTTACTTTTTCTTTTCAAATATACAGCTGTGAATGTTCTGAATCACTTAAAGACATTCTCATGTTAAAATGGCTTTTTACAAAACAGCTTTTTAGCAGTTATATGCAATAATAATAATAAAAAAAATTATTGTACCAACTTACCCAGACATGGGGTAAGTTGACCATTGGAGACCACTTTTTTGGCATGCTATATCATCAAGACAGTTATGTTAACATTCATCCTGTTGGTTTGCAGGGATGCACAACATTTTGAAATATATGCAGATACACAAGTTAGAGACAAAACTATGATTGACTTGATGTAGTGATCCGAAATATGGAATATAACTCATCTTACTCCACTCTCCCCTATTTGAGGAAAAATGAACAACTCACACTTTGTTTTGAGTATCCTGACTATATCACTGTCTTTATACTCCTGATGTGTTTAACATTTCAATACCAGTTTGAATTAACAGGCCATGAGAAACAGGTGTCAAATCTTTGTTTGTGTTACATGTTTCAAAAAAAAACATGGGCACCTTATTTTATATGGAAACACAAATATGCATGCTTTCTTCCCATACATCCTGTCCTCTCATAACAAGATAGCAGTCTGAGTAATACACAGGTGAATTTGGTTATATGAGTCTGACTTTGTATCCCTCAGGGGCTAAACTGAACAGTCAAGTCCTGGTAGAGGGCCAAAAGACACCGCTTCCTCCTATCAACAACAAGATCAGCTCAGATGAACTGCTGGTCAGCCTTTCTTCCACTGTCTGTAATGAGATTACACTCGGGCACACTGCACACAATCGAAACTGTAAGGTAAAGTCAAGCCCTTTAAAAAATTTGAGGGTTGGTGAGTGGAGGGTGTGTGTGTGTGTCAATTATCAATTGACACCAGTATTGCTATTTCACTTTGAACACAGGGATGTGGAATCAGGCGGCCAGATGCAGTCTGGCATCACCCCCTCGGGCGCAAGAAATACAAATACTTTCTTGAACAACCCACATCTGTGACTGCAGCTGGCAGGTCAGCAAGACTTACAAGATAATATAGCAACATATATGTTGAAAATAGGATGCTTTTTAAAACCATAATTCATTATAAATGCACATTATACTTTTTGTAAGTTTCACTTTGCTCTCAAGCACTTATACAGGAATAGGTACACCTGCATACCTAACCATCATTAGTTTGTGTAATAGCTGCAAGACACCCCGCCAAGTGAAGCTCATTTGAGGTTCTTTCTGAAGTTATAACAAAACACCAATAAACTAATCTCTTAAACTGAGCTTTTAGGACTCCACAGATGAGCTGAAAGGGAAAAAAGTGTTTGGTTGTTTTAAATTTCTGTCATGATATACACAGGGACATTTCTTTCCTATGTGATGCTGTGGTAACTCAGAGAAAGTCATCACCCCTCCCTCCAGTAACAGGCAAAAGTGGCATTGGAGACACTCAGGTAAGCCCCCAGTTTGTCCAGCCTTTTATACTTATCAAGATTTATCCTTGCTATGGAGAACCACAGACTGTATGCAGAATATATGTATTTTATTAATATTATCTAACCAGATAGGACAAAAAAGATAAGAAAAGGAGTTGTTTTGAAATGCTATGATCAGCAGCTGTAGATCTGGCATTTACTTCACCTTTCATTTGTATGTTCTGAACTGAGACAGTGTAAAGTTATACTTATCCTCTCTGTCTTTCTCAGAACTTGAGCATCTTGGAAAGTCTGATCCCAGAAGAGTATCGCATTGTGAAAAACAAAGGGCTGCAGAGCCTCCAGTTCTATGAAGAGTTAGTGTGCTTTAATCTTATAATGTAACTTTTTATGGTAGCCATATTGATAATCTGTTTGTTTGTTTTTTGTCCTTTTCTGTCAATGAACATGTTGCTTCTCGTTCTTAGTGCATTCACAGTACAGCTTCAGGATAATGAGCAGAGACTTCGAGTCTTCCCTTCACTGTGAGTATCTTAAACAAAGATAATACTCTGAGGTAAACTAAAAGTAAAGAATCTTCATTTTAATTCATGGAAAAATGTCACTTTGTCTTTTAAAAAAAGTGCTGACAAATGCTGTGAAGGAAAGCCTTTATACTCTCTGTGTGCAGCAAACCCAGTGGCAGACTGGAGGTGGTTCAACTGATGAGGATGATGGACGACATGCTGGAGAAGGCTGGAGTGGATCAGCAAAGCAAGGAGCTGACTGAGCTTTCCCAGGTAAGAGAGACTGAGCAGCTGAAAGTCCACAGGCTGCTGACGCATGTGCTGTGTTGCATCGATCAACACAAAATAATATGTACCTGGAAAACTCGATGTGTAGGACTACCTGTGTCTAATCAAAAACTCTATATCCAAAGTGTAGTCTGTGGTATTTTGGCTACATTGTTGTGCAAATTGCTTTGAGAGGCTTTGAGACTTGCAGCCTCATTCATTTATCAAGATGGTACATTGAAATGTCTTTCAGATGGAGCAGCTGTTGAAGGTGGTGCAGGATGAGCAGAACATCTACAATATTGTTTTTCACGAACTGATCAGACAAGTCAGTGTGAGCTGCTCAGAGAGAGGACAACTGCTTTCTAAACTAAGGTTTGCAGCTAATACATTAGCTATTAGATGTATTTTTTTGTTACTCCAATTTTATTCAATGAGATTTCTGGTATTTGTATGTCCAGACAGCGCTACCAGTCCCTGATGGAGCGAATCCCACAGTGTCTGAAGGCTCTGCACACCGAGGTGGTGGCACAGAGAGCTCTTGATCGCCGGCTTACTGAAGAGATACAACACATCAAGATATCAATGCAGGAACTCAGTGTGTATGTATCTCAGGTGTAAGGCTGGTGGGTTGTGACAAGTGAAATGAGCATGTTTTTCTGCTCTTCAACGTTTAAAAAGGGAGGCGAGAAATGAACATTTTTGTGTGTGGAAGCTGTGTGTGTTATCTCATGATGTGCAAATCTTTGTGATTGTGGCCGTTGTTCTCATCACAGGGAGCTGTCCAAAATCAGAGAGCATGATGTGCTTGTGTCCCAGCAAGCAGAGTTTGCTTACAGGCAGCTGGCTGGAGCCCTGGATCAGACCAACACCAGCACAGAGTCAGTCCAAACTTTACAACTTTTAGAGTATTTCAAGTCACATTTTCAATGGCATAGATTTGTATGGCATAGATTTAAGGCTCTGCTATGAATATGATAAGGTCTATGTGCTCTTCATAGCATGGTCCAGGGCTACTCTGAGCTTTACGAGCTGCAGAGAGGTCGCCTTGAAGCGCAGCTGCTTCGGATGACTGAGGAGAGAGACTGCTGGAGCCAGTTCACCGTCTGCCTCGCCCTAAAGGTGTGTGAGCCATGAAGCACTTGTTTTGTTTGTGGCAGATTCACCTTGTTTGATGACTTTCGTTTGCCTGCTTTGTTAGAGCTCCAGCTTACAAATTCAAATATTGAGGCAGATAGTTTGACAAAGATTTTGCTATTACCTGCTCCGGCAAGATTTCACCGGTCATGTTATTGCTTTGGATAATGTTCAAACTTTAAATGTAGGCTGTATTTGATTGATTTGAACTGTAGGATGATTAGCTTCAGCAAGTTCAGCACAATTCTCCTTGATTATCAGGTGATCAGTGTAAAGAAGCTACAGTTGGTCAGTCAAATGCACCTCAGCGAGCAGAGATGCACCAAGACAGCAAAGCACTGCAGCATCTTTCTGACTTCAGAGGTAACAATAAAATCCCCATTTCTCACCATTTCAAGTTCTGCTCTTAGAAAAAAAAAACCCACTAAAATCTACCAAATACTATGCGGAAATATCTGTTTTGGTTCAATTACTCTCTGGTGATGACTCTGACCATCCTGCTGTAGGACACAAAGGACCTGAATATCATTGTGGAGCTTTGTGACTATTGGAAAGAGCAGCTGACTGCGTTTGTGTCTCAGCTGAAGACGACTGAGCATGCTCAGCGTGAACAGATGACTTCCATTCAGCAAGGCATCAACAAGTGGCTCACTTTCTGCGATTCACAGACTCAGTATGAACAAGAAAAATTGTCAAAGATGTTTTTTTATTGAAGTATGTGGTGATATAAAGCGCCATCAAATAAGAATACTTTCAATTAAAAGTGAAATGTATTAGTAAAATTAACATCATATTAGTCCTACTACAACAAATTATTAATGCATGTTTAAGTAAATGCAAGTAAGCATAGTATTTGACACCAGTCTGATCAGTCATCCTCTACTTTACAACCGCTAAAGACTACCCTTAAGACTCTTTACTCTATAGTCCATTCAAGTTGTATCCATTACAGTTGATGGCTATTGCTATTACCATATACTTAGTAATTCTCCTGTAAACTTAAATATCCAGTATTCCTTTTATATTATTTTCAATGTCAACATGATAAAGATACTCTCTCCATCTTTTTCTTCTTAGGAGTCCAAACACAAAATATGACGACTCTTCCTTGGAGAAGATTCATGCTGATTTAAAGGAGTGGTCAAATGTAGGTCAAGGCGGTGTGTCTTATTCTTCAGAGTGATCATTTGCGATTTCATTTCTATTTTGTCTCCATTATTAATAATAACTATCATCATTTGCTCCATCCTCTCTGCTATCATCTTCTCTGTGTTTCTGATTGATTTAAATCACCTCCCATCTTCAGCTCTCGTAGTTTTCACCACTTGTCAGAACTGATATTTGATCTATCTGCTGACTGTCTGCTGTATCTCACCTCTGTCACTGCTTCCACCCCATCTCTGTCCACCGCTGACACTTATCATTTGTCTTTGTTGTCTGTTTGAAAAGTAATCTGCACAGCTCTTCATAGAGGGGTGAAGACCCGTCTACAGACCAGTATAATCTGTTATTCTTTCTCAGCATGTTTGTTCACTTTTGTATTTTATAAGTTAAAGCTGTTTTATTTATCCTTTACGTAACTTGTATCACAAAGACACAATAAAAGTCAAACAGTAAGGCTTGTAGAGGGTTTCTTTTAGCATAAAGTTAATTATATTTGTTGTACTTTTTCTTGCAGATGTTGACCCTCTTGAGTGAATGCTACCAAGGTGAGACGCTACTTTCTGGACAGCAGACGCTGACTGAGCTCACTCGAGCCCAAGAACGATTGCTAAACATGAGCCTTGAGCTGTTCAGAAGACACCCTGCTCCTGACGGTGAGGCTTCTGAAGGGCAGAAGGACCTGAGAGAGCTTGACAAGGACTTATCTGAGTTCCTCAAACAGCTGGACGCACACATCACTGGAGAGACCGGTGAGGGACAATAAGACCTGAACTGATTCAAAGTTTTGTGTTTTTTTTCTATTGTTTTCATAGATCTAGTGGGAGTTAAAACTGATTCCAGGCATGTTGTTTCAGGGATCTACGCACAGATCAGGTCACTTTTTGGGTCAATGGAGTCAGAGGATTCAAAGCTCAGTGCAGTGATTGGCCGGCCAGAAATGATATCCACTTCTGATTGGTTGAGGCTTGGGAAGGCTCTGCACAACTGGCAGACTCTGGCTGAAGACATCTCGAAGAATTTCAGCACACAAGCAGAGGTTGAAAATGACAAAAGTAAACCTAACATATAGTAAGTTTTTAATTTACTGGTATTATTTAAGCTTAAAGTAAGTCAAAATTGTATTTGTCTTTCAGGTTTTAACTCTGTGTGCTTATCTGTGTTGAAGAAATTAGACAGAACATTAGAAAGTTGGTATAATATCTTTCTATGTCTCTCTCTCTCTCTCTCTCTCTCTCTCTCTCTCTCTCTCTCCTTCCTAGGAAAGTGAAATTGAGTTTACATGTGATATAACAGTAAAAACTAAGTTTTCTGTGTTTCTTATTTATGTGTTTTTGTTTAAACAGCCAAGAGACAAAAAGTTTGTCAGAAAAAACACAGAAGTTTATTACCGACCTGTCCAGTTTTGTTGTTAGTGAGAACCAGAGACTTAGCGAAGAGGTGAGTACCCACCAGGTTCAAAAAGAAAATATTAGTTCAGTAGTTTTTTTTCAACAGACGTATCAGGACTAGGACTGTGGTAGTTCAATACTGCAGAGACATGTCAGAAAATTGGAGCTGATATTTTGCCTTTTTAATGTCATATGCTGTCTTAAGTTTAATGTTTCTTTCCCTCTCAGGTCACCTCCATTCACATGGCCCAGACCCGCTGGATGTTAAACCTTTTGCTTGTCATGGTACCAGACCACAGTGAGGACCAGAACCAAGTACAGGATCAGCACAACAGGATGAACGTCTCACTGCAGACACTAGATGATGATGCCAAGGTGCTAGCTGAGAGACTGGGTCATTTTTCCAAATATATCACAAGGTACCCCAGTTTTTTTATTTCTTTTTTTAAACTTATTGATAAAATTAACGGGGGAAGAGATAAGCAGAGAGAGATCTGCATATGTACTCAGGAAATGTTTGCTTTTGACTTCAGCTCTTGCAAGCTGATTCTGGAGAAGCAGATTCAGCAGAACCCACGTGACATGGAGATTGAAAATGAGATAACTGAATGCGGAAAGCTAGAGGTAGTTAAAAAAAAATCAGTGCTGCATACTTTTATATTTCGTTGCGTGACACAGTGTTATTTTTAATCTATCATAGAGATACCAAACACTTCAAAATAAATGCTGTTTTGATCTTCCACAGAGGGAGTGCGCTGATTGGGTGGAAACTTCAAGAATCCTACTTTTAGGAGTGAAGGACGGTCCTGTAGAGCTGCCTGTCAAACCAGCCGATCGTGCCTCCACCAGTGATGTTCTTGTCCCCACGGTAGATGATTTAAAGATCGTGGTAAGGAGTCAAAAATATGATCAATAAAAATAGCCCAGTTTGTTTTGAGCTCTTGACCATTTAATAAATTATTAAGTCAGTTACCCGTTAAGATTCGAGTAACAACAACCTTAGTTTAGGACACTGAATGTCTCCAGATACTGAGAGGAATAAAATTGGATTTTACAAGGTCTAAAATCAATGTTGCCATGGAAATTGAGATAATAGTGATTGTGTGTCTATGCTTGTGTCTACAGGTTAACAGAGAGGTTTCAGCAGAGCCTACAACAAAACAGGAGCCTTTAGAAGAACAGAGAGGGGTCCCCACAAGTACAGTGAGTGTAAAATCAACATGCCCACACAGGTCAGGAAGTCCTAATCCTTCCTAGTTTTAAAAAAATGAACACTATTGTTTTTGTCCTGCAGGGGGAGCCCTCGGTTTGTGAAAGCCCAGTAGTGAAGCTGATTGACTTTGATGGACACATAACAAGCAGAAAGCTGGGACAGAGAATTGTCCGCCTGAACGGGGTCAGTCAGCTAAATCACTGAACTTAACTGTGTTTTTCCTCCTTTCCTGTCTCTCTGATTGACCATCTGTCTATGTGTTTGTCTGTCTCTCGGTTAGACTGAAGAGCTGGTTTTGTCTCCAGCAACAGATAATTCCCAAAACGTTTTTAGTGATCTGACCACTGTGGGATTGATGCAGCAGAAACTACAGTAAGTTCATATTCTTCTTAGTGTATATATGCCCATGTGTTTTGAAAATGATGATTTTTTTGAACAATGATGCAAAGTTATCAATGATTTGCAATATTTTCATATTTTCTTCCTATTTTTTTTTTTTTTCAAATTCACAGGCCATGTTTTGTTGCTTTGCTCAAGCCATGTAAGCCATATTTCTCTACTTGTTTTGGTCAGTGATTCAGAGCTACGGGTCCAGAGTGCTGAGCAGCGGGCCCTGGAGGCCGAGGAAGCCTTGCAGGTAGCGTTGCAGGAGAATCAGGACATGAAGAGACAACTGCAGGGTTGGCCCAGTCTGGAGCCTGATCTCAGAGAAGGTACCAATCAAACAAAAAAATGCAATCAACTTAAAACTGTGTCAGAGACAGTATGTGATTCATGTCTTTGTTTGTTTGCATTACAGAGAAGAAGAAAACTCCTCCACCCTCTACAGCGACACCCCCAGCTCCTCTAAAGAAAAGCACAGCTGAAACCAAATCATCCAGCAGCAGCAAGAAGACCAAAAAGCGATGATACGACAAGTGATCAGGACGAGTTACAACTTAATATGCATGTGTAGACCGGCCACATAAAGCTGGGTGAATAGTTTGTAAATAGTTTTTGAGAGTGGAATGTGTGTTTTATTTATTTATTTTCTCCGTCATAAGTTATAAGAGGATGCCTGTCTGAACTCTGTTGCAGTCAAATCAATAAAAACAGTCGAGGAAAGAAAGGATATCATGTGTTCTGCACTTTACTCAGGTATGTTTCTTATCTAAAACTTAGTATGTACACGTAAGCTTTGCCTCACAAGAACAGCATCATTAACAAGTGCTATTAATTTGTCTTGATTGATCAATATTTAGATTACTTGGCTGGCTCCATATAAAGTCAACTCGACAGGGTTTTATCTCATGAAATTAAAATGAACGAATGTTTGGACATTTACGATTAACCTCCTGGTTTCAGCAGCTCAGACCTGGAAACCTTCAAAATGAGTCTGTGCGCATGAGATTAACTGTTAGCTGTGGTAGGGGAATCAAAAAAAGGTCTTTAACCGCTCCAATTCCAAATTTTCATGTAACATTTATTAAGTTAGAATCCCATTTTTAGCTACTTGAACAAACTTAAACATGTTAAAAATGTCCTGGAAATCATTTAAAGTAGCTTAGGTTGATGAGAGATAAAAGTCCCATTCTCAGAACAGTCTGTCACATCATTGGCGAGTCTGTCCTTGGATTCTGCTCCACCATTCCTCCATCTTCCTCCACAGCTGGAGGTGGAGGAGGAGGAGGGGGTGGTGGTAGGGATGAGAGGTCAGGGGTCACATTGAGGAGATCAGGGGGGAGTGGAAGGACCAGGGCAGGATGGAGGAGACGAAGGGAAGCCCTGAAGCCCTCCCAGGCATCCCTGTCTCCTTCTGCTGCTTTGACCTGGAGGTGAGAGGGACAGCTGCTAAAAACTGCACTTTGTCACCTGCATATCAACTTTTTTTAAAGAAACAAAGCAATTTCAAGACAGCTGGGTGAGTGTTTTTAACTGGTTTTGTAAGAGGACCTTAACTCACTTTTTTAAACCATTTTCAATTGTGTTTCCAACCAAAGAATAACTTCATCACACTATCTGAACTATTGTGATCTTTCAGCCATATTTGACATGATAAATCAAAAAACAAATATTTAAATCTTTCCAATCATTCCTCTGTAAAGTTATAAATATTAGATAATTAATGCTGGTATAGTCACTCACTCTGGCCTGTTGATGTCTTTTAGCTTCAGCCTCAGCAGCCAGACTTTGCTGTAACTCCACTGGAAAACTGAGCTCATCTCTGACAGAAAATCAAAAACAGATCAAAGTATGCCACAAATTTCTACATTTTTTTCTCTTTACTTGAGCAGAGTAAACCTCCTTTGTGCCTTGAAAATTTTCCAAAACCACTTCTGCAAATCATGCACTTGCTTTTTCATCTGTCCCACTTCAACTGTATCATTTCCTTACAAACTTAGAGGTATAAGAGGAACATTTAACTTCAGCCTTACTTACATGTCTGCTCTCTCCAACCTGATGCCCCAGCGGCATGCTACAGAGTCAACAGCAGCTTGTATCTGCTCTCCTGTCATCCTCCTGTGCAGCAGGACATGGCTGAGTGTGTGCTGGGAAAGGACGTCTCTGACCACCGCCTGGACGAGAGTCTGCAGCACCGTGGTCAGACTGGACAGAGCTGAGCTGCACAGAGTCACATTTTTTATTTGATAATAACACACTGCACTCAGCTCTGGCCTTAGTAGGTCCTTTGTCACCACCTGGGTGCAAAAAAGTCAGTGATAGGTCAAACACAATCCAAGTTTTGTCATTGTGTGATTAAAAAGTTGGAAAAACTCTATGCTACGGGGATAAAGTGTGTGCGCTTAATCTGATACAGTAAAGTGAGGATCATTTTATACTGTTTTAGGACAGAAAACGCCACAAATTCTAATCAGCTGGTTCAGTTTAAAACTAAAAGAGAAGTTTGTTTTTACAATATTGCTCTGACCGTATGAAGAGGAACCTTTAGCATTTTCAACTGAATGTCGACCTTGTGGCATACATCCAAAAATGGGAGGAAGAAGAGAAGGCCTGTAGAAGATAGACAGATGATTTAGCCAAAGTAATACGGATTTTCAACATTCTTGAAGATAGCTACAGTTTCAGCATGACATTTGACAGATGAGCTTGAAGTTTATGGTGATGAGCAACAACCTGGTCCTCTGGGTTTGCCCCGCAGTAGATGACCCAGTCTGAAGATAACAGCCCTCTCATGCTCCCTCACTACCTGTCAATCAAAATGACAAAAAAGTCAGCACATATAAATGGAGGATGATGATGATAGCTGAGTCCAACTCGTATGCAAAAAAGTAAACCTGAGGATGAACAGAGTCTGGGGCCATTTCTGTTTGAGATTTAGTTGTGTTGACTGCGTATCAGGTTAAATGGAACAGTCATTATTAGGTGAACATGCTGAATGAGATGGAACAGGTCGAGATATCCTTGTTGACTGTGTCTAATAATTTCAGCTCTGTTGACTTCAGTCCTTACTTTGACACAGAACCAGATGGCAAAAGGAAGAAAGATGAGAACCAGAGCCAAGACAAAGACCATCAGCAGCCACTCAAACACTCCCAGGTTCTTACGCTTCAGACCTGCAGAGACAACATACCCAAGCTGAATACAACCATGCATAATTACATCTTTTTCAGCTCAGCCTTCCTGCATGAAAATGATGAACTGGGAGAGCTTAACAATTGAATGTAAGTGGTATAAAACTTCTGTCCATGTTCCCCCTGTAGCGTTTATTATATCCCAGACTTTCTTTCACGCTTCTACTCACTATCCTCCTCAGCTGCCTCCAGGAGCCCCAAGTTCTCCTCCTTGACCTCCTCTTCTCTCACACTGTCTATGTCCACCACCGTGGATTTCACTTTTAGCTCAGTCTCCCGCTCCACTGTCACAGTATTGTTCTCCAGCTTCTCCTTCTGCGACCTCTCTTTCTTCACTGATGATATCTTAGGGTTCTTGCTGTCCTTTGATGGCCGTTGTCTGTGACTTCTTGGTGGCTCTGAAGCTCCTCTGTCCCTCTCTTTCTTCAGCATCACAGTGGGTCTTGGTGGGAGACTGGGACGGGCCTTGGAGGAGTTCTCCATGCTGGCTTGAGGCTCCACAATGCTGTGTAGAAGCTTTTAGTTGATAGTATTTAAGTATTTAAAATTTAGAGCTTTAAATGTGTTTTTTGTTGCGCCTTGTGGCTGGAGATGTGTAATGGTAATCTGTGCCACTGCCAAATTAAGCTGAAAATAAATGAGGTACACTGTGAGACTGTGGGAGTGGGAAAGAAGTGGGAGTGTCACTGATCATCCTCTCTTTCATGTGAGGTCAGTGAGCTTATGTGGAAAATAACAAGATGCAAATGCAATCAAGCCATAACTTCATATTTAAAACACATGTTTACTTTTGGTACATGTGTCAAAAAAGAGACTAAATCATCCATTATCTTGGTAAATTTTTGTTTTGATTGTGACTATTGCAAAACTGATGCAAGTGGCACAGATTGCGGTCCAGTAATCAGAGTTAAGAGCAAGTAATTACGCTGGAACTTGAGGAGTCAAAGTGCATCCTTAGTGGGAATGTGCTGACTCAGAGCACCTCTTGTCAAAGAGCTGACTAAGGTTTAATTTGCTTTTACAGGGAAGGACACACACTCTCCTCCCTGTTGGCCCCTTAATTAAACCAATCATTTATTCTTTGGCCCACTTCTTCTCTACTTATAGAAGCCCTTAATATAATCATGAGAGAAAACCAAAGCAAATGGGCCATTAAGCTCAGGTTAAATAGGTGCTTTGATGAAGGTCCCCTAGATGTACGTTTTATTGGAACCATTGCAGCGCCTTCCAAATGGTCAGCTGAAATCTAAAACTTAAATTCACTGTTTTGGTTGGCTGTGATGGTTAAAGATGGTCATCGTGGATTCCTTTGTGGTTTGTAGATATTATAATTCTGCTCTGTTTTTCTGAATTACAGAGCTTATTATCAAAAATGACTTCATAACTTTTTCATAAAGAATTTTCGTTCCTGTTTTTCTGAATAAATGAGACAATAATCTTGATTGTCCATAAAATTTTCCCCGTGAGTAAATGCACACATTTTAAATATTTCACATATGTCATTGTGAAATAAACGATGCTTATTTCTTAACTCTGAAAAAACAAACAAACAGAATTGCTCAAACGGCTTACAGGTGTTGTGGCGTAGAATGCACCCCCTGTGTCCCATCCCCTCATGAGCTTCTTAAAGTAGAAGAAAATGATCTAATATTTAAAAGAACACGAGTATTGGATCATAACATCATGTCAAATGGAGCAGCAAACTTTCTTTCTGTTTTTATGTCTCTCAAAAATGCACACATAGAGGTGCACTTGGGTATATTTAACTGTACAGTAAACTGTCATGGTGGAGAACATTATATTTTTGAGACAGCAAGTATTCCGAATCAGAGGGCCATTGTTTTTGGCTTGTCTGAATAGCCTGGATGAAATAATTAAAGGCAAAACCTTTTGAATCCATCCAGTGGTAAAGAAAACTTGGATTATTTCGCCTCGTTATATGTACTTTTAACTGCGCAGCCGTCAGGGGATGCATTCTACGGCAGGGGTGCATTCTACGGCAGAACACCTGTCTAAACTCATTTTAATTTTGCAGGGCCGCTTTAAAAAAGTTCTTGCGTACATTTTATTTTTTAAGTTATTTAAGATATTTTCGAGAATCTGAGTCGTCTGTACACAAAATTGTGCACTGCGCTTTTTCGTGTTTTTCCGACCACGTTGCTAGTGTCAGCCGTTACCGTGTAGTGTGGGAGTACTGCTAGCAACAGGTGTGGCCGTTGAGATAACGACCGGTCAGAGTACCTTTCAGGATTCTGCAAAGATACTGAAACTTTGAGGTTAGTCTGGTTTGGTAAAATCAAACTTGTTAAACTGGAACATGAAAAAGTAGGGGTCCATGCATGACCTTGTTAAAATTGCTGAAGGACGACTAACTGTACCGACTCCCGAACTCAACAAGCAACGTTCCTCTGAGGTAGTCACACGGTCCAAGCTAACAATTTTTAAACTATGTGCGTTTATCACAGAAGTTTTGCTGATTTGTCCCCATTTTTTGCACTACAGTTGAATTTGAAAGGGGTTTATTGAACCTGTACATCTAAATATGTGAAATATAATTGTGTAACAGTCATGAGGAGTAGGGATGGTGTTTATTTTTTATTCTTAACCGCAAATATTTTATTTTTATTTGATTTAAAGATAAATTGAAATGCAGTTAAATCATGTGGTTTCTATATAAAGAGCTCTTAAAGCACTGTAGCTTCATGTAAGTTTGTTTTTGTAGACCTGTCAACATTTTATGCCTGTATTTAGGGTCCATTTACAGTAGGGCCGGGTGATATGGGAGAAAGTTTATCATGATGTGTTTTTTTTCATATCTGCCGATATCGATGAATATCACAATATAAAGGAAAAAAAAAACTTGTCTATCCTAAATGTTCCCTGTTACTCTTAAATGAAAGTTAACTGTGCTTATTGGTAGCATGCATAGACTGTATATAGAATGGATAGAGTCTGCCTCCTCGCTGGGTGAAGCCACTTTGAGAACAGCACCCTCTGGTGACGGGCTGCAGAATAGATCATAAATCCCACTTCAGCCAGCAAAGCTTATGGGGCTGTGGACAAGCTTTATAAATTTATTACACAGAACATAACCCCCCTACTTGCGATGTTGACTTGTCTTTATTGAAAGACTGATTTGTGCTCAAGTCCTCTTTTTTCTGTGAAGCTCCGTTTTTAAAAGTTATTAGGGGGTTCTAGTTTCTTTGATTGACACCTGATACAGCCTATTAGCGTTCAGGGATTGCGTAGCTCACTCGGGGGATACGCTGTTTGAACCGAGTGTCATCACAGCGACTCTCCCGCCGAATGCGCACAACGCTACCGTGCAATACTGGTTTCTGGAAATGAAGAAAAATCCCGGAAATACTGAGAGCTTTTTGGCTTCAAATCCGTATACAGGCGGGAGGCGGAACCAAGTTGTCCATAGTATATACAGTCTATGGTCATAAGGCGTTGCACTAGAGAAAGCTGGCTGAATAGTTGGCTGTTTCAGCTGCACAGGCGCCTAATTTACAGTATGTATTTGTTTGTGCTGCTGTGGTCTACAGATGGCAGCGGGCAAAGTGAACCAGGAAGAAGTTTTAGCAAGGCTAAAGATCGATGTTCGTTCCTTGCTCATTTCATCAAAAGTAGGCCTGGAACCTGAGCAGCTCAGACGGGACTATAAAGCGATGACGGGACATCCAATGCCCCTGAAAGTCCTTGGCTTTAGAAATGTCCTGGATATGGTGAAGGAGATGCCTGATGTGGTGACAGTTAACTTCAGGCCAGATGGCACCTCATTTCTGAAAGGTAAAGCATTTTCCTTCTAGTTGACACCCTTTTTGGTCTTAAATGCTACTATTTAGTATTTCAGAAAAAAACTGTAATTGCAACCTCCTGCCTATCAAACATTTGAAATTCGTTATCTTAATGCAATCTCTTTTATATGCTTACATTGCAGCTGTGGGTGATGAGTCCACCAAAAATATTGAGGCGCTTGTTGCCAAGCAGCGCACGCCCAAGACTAACAAAAATGTTTCAAGAAGAGGTGTCAGACACTTTTTCCCTAGCCACTTTCACCCAACCCAATTTGTGGTCCTTCCCAGAAGAGGACGACCCCCTCCTGCTCTCCATGCTCAGCTGAGGGGACAGCTCCGCATACTGTTAACCCAGGTATGAGTGAAGGGTGTTAATTCAAAGCGTGGAAAAAGTGTTGAACTTTTTTTTGTTTTCAACTGAGTCTTATTTGTGTGAAAGTTGTGTTAATTGATGGTAGGTAACTATGGTAAGTAATTGTTATCTGCTGTAGTTTTGAATTACCATAAATCCTCAAAGACCAGGGTTCAATCTGTGGCCTGGCCCATTCAACTGACCAGGCTCAAGAGCTTTATAAGTGAATAAAGGCTGGCTTTCAGTCATTGGCTAGGGCACTAGCCACTAATGTTTATATGTTGGAATATGTTAACTCTACCCCTCCCAACCAGCGTTCCCCTTAGCTCCTCCTCTCCTCTCTCTCTCTGCTCCAGCAAGCCCCGCCCACAAACAGACGCTGCTGCTCGCTCCTATCATTTCAATTAAATTCAAATATAATGCAGATATATACTTAAGGTAACTACAAATGGAGCCCATTTAACGTTAAAGTAAACAGCATTGGTACTACTGTAGATGCCAACAAACTACCAGCAAACACAATGTTTGCAGGACCCGAGGTAAACAGTTTAGTGGCGCTACGATACGCAGCAGATCCCGTTTGAAAAGAAACACTTCTGTTACAGACACTCAGCTTACTTTGTGAAAGCTGTTTACCTGTCCAGCGGAAAGGTTACAGGGTCTGTAAGATCCCAAAGTGTCCCCCATCGTTTATGCTAGCTTCATGGATGTTGACCCGGCTTTTTTAGCTCTTGTCCGGGTGGTCTACCTCCTTTTTAAGCGCCCGTTATTCCACCAGAGTCGCCTATATTTACTTTTTTTTCTTGCTTGTGTTGGCAGTCGTGGTCAAAGGAGGATTCAGACAATTTCTGTACTTTGTGGTTGGTTTCTACTGTCTGATATTGTAGCACGCTAACTTTGTTTTGGCTCCTGGACGACACGGGGGAGCAGCATCTGCCTCACAACCAATCAGGATGGGGGAGGCGGGAAATGGCTTTGTTTACAGTCAGAAAGAGCGGAGCGCTCAATAATTTAAAATGTTGACTACACAGACATAACAAAACACAGCAATATTGTGATATTACCAAATGTCATCAATGACTAATAGCTATTGACTGATATTAGGAGATTTTTTGTATATATACCACAAAAAAGATGCTTCTTTAACGGATTCCTGCCTACCCCACCTTTAATATACAAGACGTCTTAACCTTGAGTTCAAAATGATCATGCATCACTATTACAATGTCCTGTACTATTACAATGCTTGTGTACTGCATCACAAACCTCTGCAGTTTGCTCCTGTTTTTCATGTATAACTGTAAGCTGTCAGCATCTCCACTCCTGCTCAGAGCTGCGCTCCATGAGTTTGTGTCTTGCAGTGTTTAATAGCTGGATGGAGAGGGAAAGTCCTCACCTTGTTATTTTGGAGTCGATATATGTCAGATGTGACAGATTTCACAATTTATAGTGTTTTTTTTTTTTTCCTGGGGTGAGTGAGCATCCTCTCCAAACAATAAACACTTGTGTATGTTGGCATCGTAACTGTGTATTCTGGGTTCACTTAATTAAAAAAAAATGAATGCAAAGATTATAACTGAGACGCTGACATGGAACGCCAGCCACGGTTTAGATTTTACTGGACAAACACAGCCAGCTAGATTAAAGCAACAATTCCTCCACAGCAGCCTTGGGCAGCCCTCTCGAGACACATGTCTCAATATCAAAAAGCAAATAAAAGACCCAGCCCATATTTAAAGGTTTATGGTCATACATTTATCAATGTTTGTGGTTTCACCGTGGAATATTGTTATTGTTTGAGGTAACAGTGCAGCTACTCTTTACCAGGGTCCAATCAGATTGGTAGACCTTGAAACCTGCTTCTTCCGCTGCTTTGGATTCCCGCTGCGTGCCGACGCCTATGGCTTCTATTCCATTGGAGAGATGCTGGAGGCATCAGCTGACCTGGTTGTTATCCAGCAGACCAGGATGGGCTCAGTTCTGGGTCTGAGGGCACAAATGTCAACCTCCAGAGAGAGAGACCCCAGAGACCAGATTTCAAGAAATCCCCTTGGGAAAGGTGGGTCGAGACAGGCGGAAAAAAACCCAATCACTTTCTTATAACACTGATGCATTTACATGTTTTCTGGCACTTTTTAATTTGTCCCTTATTCTTTAATGTGGTTGCTATGGTAATCTTTAAAATACCTTTGTCATTCTTACCAACTGTAGTCCCAGTGAAGCAGAGTCCTCCTAACAAGCCTTTTACTGAGACTGTCCCGGGCTCTGTCAGTAACAACACAACATCTGGCAGCTGTAAGACAAAGATGATGGAGAAGAAGCAGGAAGTGGATCAGGAACTCCGTCAGGAAGGTCATCTCTTTCAGGAACGTGTCATGAAGGTTTGTGTTCATCTGCACTTTAATTTTTCAGCTCAAGACAAGACGTAAGAGACCTGTATCTGTATTCTTGTTGAATATACAACCTACAGACTCCAGGCAGCACATGCCAGCAGATTTTCAAACAACATTAATGGATCGCCCCAATTCATTATCAAGAATCATAGACAAATTTTCTGTACAGTTGATTGATTTTATTTCAATTTGTCTTTGTTCTTTGTTTTGAATTTTGCATCAGCTGGAGAAAGATCTTCACCAGCAAATTTTAGAGAATGGAGTCGCCGGCACCATAAGCCAGGAGCTGAAGGACAAGCTACGAAAGGTCAGACCTCCTGCTAGTTTATACATGAATCTGCGATCGCTGCTAATGACTAGAATAGACATGTTTTGCTTTCATGGTAGGGAATATTTTGACACAAACAGCAACCAAGAAGGACCGTTATAAGTAATGTGATTTCTTCTCTGCGTATGTTCATGATTCCCTGCAGGTTGTCAGACAGAATGGTGGTGGAGTATCAGTGCAAGACCTGCCAGCAGAATACAAGGTACAGAACAAAAAGCTGCACAGTGCTTCTGTTGATCTGGATTTTGTCACCGCAGTTGAAGGAATAAATAGCTGTAGGGTTAAGAGCCTAAGAAATCAGTCGCTGAACTGGATTCATTTAGTCTTTCCAAGTAGAACTTTAAAAATCACATGCTTTATTGTTGGGGTTTACTCAGATTAATTAGAGTGACTTTCTCTCTAAGGCTGCACGATATTGGAAAAAACTAACATTGCAATTTTTTTCAACCCTGCGATATATATTGCGATATCAAAAAATACAGGAATTTTCACCGGATGACCTGAATAGCACTTTATGCTGAAATCTTGTAGACAGTTAACCTGCTCTGATCTTACCTCTTTTTGTGAATGTTAGTAGAATGGCTTCTGTCTGTCTCAGAGATGTTTTTAGCTTTTATTGTGCTGGGACGACAGATGAACACAGAACACGTGTTTTGGTCGACATCATCCTTCTTGTAATGAAATAATTTCAGATCACTGACATTCTCTTTCTTTTTGGCAACAAGTTCGTTGTTCGTTGCTAATTTTGCAATCGCAGTTGGTGTTACCGGTGTTGTGCCGAGAAACGCATGTCCTCCGAGAATTGCACGCACGTCGCAAAATGCGCAGCGCTTATAGTAGAGTGGTCCATGGAAATGCACAATTTAAAGCCCATACAGTTCTTATTTGTTGGGCTTAACAGTGATGAGTAAAGTTCCGAAAGTGGCTCTCAGCGGACACGCCTTTCTCGGCACAACACCAGCAGCGCCAGCGACTCACTCCATGTGCAGGGGTGGGTTTCCTCCTTTCTGATTTTGATTGACGGCTGGCAGGGTAGTCTGATTGGCAACTTGGTAAAGAATGAATGTGATTGGTGGATCGCTGCACAGCACACGCAGAGTCACATGCAGTGTATCGCTGTCAGCTACCCTTGAAATCAGATGAGTTCATTCGCCTCCTACATCGCAGATTCTACGATGTGACTATCGCGATGACAATGTTCAAACGATATATCATGCAGAACTATTTCTCTCATTAAGCCCACCTTCCCTTAATGATGTCAGAACTCAATCTGTTTTAAGACAAAGCATTGCAACTGCAGAAGAGCAGAGCTCAGCTGTGATGACTGAGTTGTGGTGATGTTAACATGTCTTTCACCTGTGATGCTTTTTTGCTCCTCAGAGGCTTTTTGGTGAGGACTTGCCGGTGTCCCAGAACAGCTTTGTCAGTGTCACCGAACTGGTCAGTGCCATGAATGACACCTTCCACCTGAAACCCGGAGAAAGTGATAGTGGACAACACTGGATAGTCACGGACATCCAAGACAGCGATGATATACAATTAGGTGCGAATGTGCCTGTGTCTGTGAGTCTCATGTTGTCAGGGATTATCATAGGTCTTGTGCACTGCACAATGGCACAGTGTCAAGCCATGTCTCTTTAGCAGTAAATCTTTACGCTCGTTCTGTGTACACTTGTGAGGGTTGGTGTGTGGGTGGGGGGGTTGGGTTTTATTGTTGTTTTTGCCCCTGTGAGGCACTTGGAATTACAAACATGTACAAAAAGTGCCATATAAATAAAGTTGAATTTGAATTTGCAGCTTTACCTGAAAAAACTTTTATGTGCATGATCATATTTAGATGTTTCATGTAAATAAAAAAAGCTCCTGGAATTTGGTTGGCTCATAATCAGAGGGAAAATCTAGTCGGTAGGATGTCTTGGTGATAACATTCAGGGCAGTATTGGAGGCGTTATTCAGATCTTTAAAAATGTGTTTTCCTCTTTCCATAGAATCAAAAGAGACTGAAAATGATGTGAAGCAGCCATCCCGGGATTTTTACTTCAGCTGTAAAAAGTCAGCTTGGGAAGACGGACTAGAGGAGGACACTGGAAACAGCACGATGGATGACAAGGATGAGGAGCAGGAACTCAACAACAATTCTAAGATTTATGAAATGGTGATGGTGGCTTACTTGTGTTTGTAAAAAGAGACTTGATGTGACTTAAAACACCTGTAAACAACTTTCCTCCTTCACTGTTGCATGTGATTTTCTGTAGGTATCTGACAAGTACCCTACCATTCAGGTACATTGCAGCCCTGGAGTTCCTCCGGACGCCATACAGGGTCAAAGTCTCAAACCTCCAACATGCCATGCCTCTAAGGAGTTGATCGAAGTCATGGTGGAACACGTGGAGTCACCAGGGAATTTCTACTTACGCTTTTGCAAGCCTGAGCAAGTTCGTGCTTTGGAGGACATGATTATTGAGATGAGGTGATGGGGATGATCGTGGTGACAGACTTCCTTCCTCCATTTTTCTCCATTGAAAAAATCAAAACAAATCATCCAATGTCACTTTTCCCGTTCTCGGTATTATTAGTCAAAATTTCAGCTCTTTTGTGTTTCTTGATGCTGAAAAGTGAAAAGTTTTCCCCCTCCTTTTGTCTCTCTAAGACAACGTTACACGTGTCCTGATGTGTCCGAGCAATACCGCCTTCCAGAGCGATACGTCCGACGGGGCCAGCTGTGCTGCGTGTCACCCAAAGGAATGTGGTTCTACCGAGTCGTGATACATCAGATCATCAGCCCCACTCAGGTGGAGGTGTACTATGTGGACTATGGTGAAATGAATGTGGAGCAGACTGCAAACCTCAAGTTCCTCAAGTAGGAGCACCACAGCTGTCGACCAAACTGATCATGACCTGTGTTTTTTGGATTCCCTCTTAACTCCACCCCTCTCTCTCAGGTCATGTTATTCCATTCTTCCAGCACAAGCTGTACCCGCAACTCTCTGTGGAATAAAACCCATCGCTGTGAGTTTGATCACATCATCACCTCATAGCATACTAAAAAAAGGACAAAGCATATGTTTTTTTTGTTTTGTTTTTTATCATCCCTTTGAGCAGCTGCTTACATCTGGCTCTTTTGAAAAGTGAATCAATCCAAACCGTGCTGCTGCAAATGTCACATTGGGATTTGTGAGAATTCAGTGTTTCTGTTTGCCTCTTTTGCAGAGGAGCTGGACTGCTGAGGCCACGGCGTCTTTCAAGAAGCTGTGCTGTGATCGCATCCTAGTGGGCGCTTTGCATAGTTACACTGGAGACGTGCTGCAGCTCTACCTGTGCGACACACGCACGAACGAAGACATCTACGCCCACACTGTCCTGCTCAGCCAGGGTCACGGGACAGCCTGCAGTCCTTCAGTCAGCGCAAGCGTGAGCCACACACAGACTTACTTCTGCTGTGGACATTATATATACTATTTTTTAACTGTTTCATTTTTGTTCGATATTTTTGTTTATTCAAGATTACAAAAACAACAAAATAACTGATACAGATCATTGTGAGCCTAATACAGGAACATGATTATAATTATACATGATTATTACATCTCGAAGAGCTTTGTACATTTAATCTGCTGATGATAACATGAAGCTTGAGAAAAATTGATCAAATAAAAAAATTAGTTTCCTCTGACTGGTAAAATATTTTGTGGAAAAGGTGATAGTAAAGCACTGAACCACAGCTTATCTTTGTTGACATTTGATCAGTCCAAACTTTGATTATTTGTGTTTTATAATGCTTCCCTTCTTTACTAGCTTTGTACAGAGGTCAGCCCAGTGAGTCTGTACTTGGGGAAGGAAATGGCCGACCTGCCAGCGGTGGAAGAGGAGGCAGCTTCATCCCAGACGCCTTCAAGCATGTGTCATCAGTCTGTGTCAGCCTCTCCAAAGGTGATTTACACGCACACACACATGGATGTTTAACCATATCAACTGGATGTCTATGTTCGATTTTTAGCTCATCAAGAAATCTATCAATATGAACTCTTGGTTTTGTCTTCCTCCCTCTTCTCCTATTTCTTTCTAACTCCTTCATATTTTGCTCCAAAGCTTTAATCCTCCACTGCCCATAGCTCTAATCTTACCAGCCATACTGTACTGTCAGCACTGCAGGCCCTGCTATACTATGCACAGACATGCACATACTGGAACAAATTTAATGTATAGTCACGCTGCTCTGAAAGTCACAACATGGTGTTGCCAAAAGAGAAAACAGCTGATGAGTGGGCTGTGAAACAAGTGTTCGTATTAAAAGATGGTGTCTCTCTGATGCTTTTTAAAACTGTGCAAACAGGAGAACAATACAGACAGCACAAATAGAGTACTTAACCTTGATTCGATTTATTTATTGAATATTATTTAACATTAAAGGGAAAATAAATATGAGCATATTCTTTAAAACGTGAATGTAGCTGAAAAACAAACAGAAAAGTCAAATGACAAATCAAACAAACTGACTGACCAAAACTCTTACAGTAACACTCAAGTAGATTTTGTGACATGCTCGAGCAGGTTTGACTGAGAATGTGTTCAGTCAGTTTTTTACTTGGTTAGTTATAGACCTGTCACTGTATATGTCATACAATAACAGAAAGGTAACCGTAGCTGTGTGGAGTGGTTGTGAATGTATTTTCTGCTTTAAAATAACCTTTAAGCGGTCTAGGTGTGCCCCACATATTGAGGCGGTGCAGACATGAATCCATCCTGTGGCGCTTTTCCTGTGTGTCACTCTCCGCTCCCTCTCCCCGGTTTCCTGCTCTATCCACTATCCTCAGTCTGTCAGTAAAGGTCAAAAAAAGCCCCAAAATAAATTTCTTTGCATGAAACTGACAATGAAATTGAATTGCGGTTGCTGTGTGTTGAACTGCCCCAGGCGCAGTGTGAATGAGTTCAGCTCATTCTGATGGGAGTGTATGAATGTGGGGTAGATAGGTGAGTGTGATGTGTAATTTGAAAATGTTCATAAATCAGAGGGGGATAAGAGAGCATTTGTTTTGTTTTGTTTTTCAGGTTGAAGAAGAGCTGCCTGCCCTCGAGTTTATCGGAGAGCCTGAGACCAGCCCCCCTACCCAGGTGTGACCACCACCACCTGACACTTGCTCTTCACACATCCACACTACTACTACTAAAGTTTTTAGTTTCTTCATGTTATTTTTATCATTTTAGATTATGTCATGGTTGTTCCACTTTTGATCAAGAGTGTACTTGTATCAGAGAGGTTTGAATTCATACTTATAGAGTTAGTTTTGACCAAAGACAGATTTGTGGGTCCTGGGCTTGACTGTTGAATACTGCTGATAGTGTTGCCTGCACACAAATGTATTTGACACCCAGTGGTGTTAAAAAAAAACAAAACACCACTTAGGTCCTGCTTGTTGCTGTGTTATGTTCAGGCTACAGATGCCGACCCGTTTGAAACTCCGCTTGATGATGAGACCCTCAGCAGCTGGGAGCTGGGCCTTTTCACGAGATCTCCTCCGAGCAGCAGGCTCACTCCAACCTCCAGTCCTCTCCAACCGCCTGATCCAATCCTAACAGAGACAAGCCCAGCTCACTGTGCAGCCCAAGCAAACGTGAGAGGACATAAGAACATTTAGATCATGTATTTACGATGCCTTTCTGTTGCTTTTTTCCACACACTGAGGAACTTTCACTCTGTCTCCAGATGTCAAGAGTGACTCCATCAACAACTCCACCCAGCGTGAACTCCAGCTCTTATCAGACACCAACAAAAGAGGAGCACTCACCCAAAGTTCCCAGCCCCTGGTTTGAGAGACAACCTCTCATCCTGAGGAACTTGAGCCTCCACACTCCCAACCTTAACCCAGGTACATCTCTACATATTCACACGTTTCTTAAGACACTATGGCTGTTTACTCTGAATGATAGCACAAATTTGGATTTAAAGTTAGTAATGTTAGCAGTTTCAACGTGCTAGAGACATGAAACAGGCTGTTTCTTCATGTGAGGTTGTTAAAATGAAAACATTTTATCCCATCGCTCTGTCCAATAGATGATAAATCAAAATTTAAGATCTCTCAAAGCTCTCTTAAACAGGAGTCCTAATGTTACAATAAGGCTTGAAGTGCACACTCTGACATTACACATGATTACATAATGACTGTCATTAACCCATGTGTACACAGAGAAAGGGACCCCTTTAATGCAATTAGTCTGTGCGCATGGATACGGGGGGACATATTGATTTCTATCCTGCTGCTTTGGTGGATGAAGCTGCTCTAAGGAGCTGACACAAATTTAATTAGACCTGTTACCAGAGCTATTTGACCCAACAGGCTGCTTTCATTGTATGGCATTTGTGCTGATATTCACACACTGATGCTCCACCATTTTTCTGCTCACACAGTTCGTTTTTTGTGTGAGAAAAACAGAAGTAAGTGGGTTTGAGGCGGATTTATCTTTGCAAGTTATTTCTTGTGAGCTGCAGCGTTACAAAGTGCATTACGCAGATGAACAAACAGATAAAACATGAGGTAGAAACAAAAGCGAGTGCTCGACAGAGATAAGAGGATAGATGCTTGTCCTAAGATCTGAACATGTGTAAGACAACATGCTGATGATAAAGTTTCCCCTCTAAATCTGCACCAAAACTCTCTGAGCTCAGGTTTCTCTCAGAAATCTGACATTGCAGAAACTTTCCAAAGTAAAACAAAAGAAAATCTACAGATTAAACATTCAAAGCTGGTACTCATCTTTCGTAACAGCTCTGTTTCATCTCTCTTGATGCTACTTTTGCGCACTGTAAAGTCATGCGGATACTGTGGCTTTTGCTGTCTTTATGATAAGGGGAAGATTAGAAGTATACTTTGAAACACTGACCTGATAAAGGCACCATTCAGCTCTCTGCAGCTCAGTGTTTTCATTCACACATAAACCTTGCAATAATCTTTCATTGATTCAGCCATATGTGTGTGTGTGTGTTTTTCTCTCTAGGTGTAAGTATCCCTTCTTTCCATCAGTACTGGAGCCCAGGCATCATGTTTCCTGTGTTTGGTGGGAAAATCCAACCCCCCCAAAAAACAACCTGAGCATGTCCAAACACACACACACAAAAAAATAATATTCACTCCTTTATAATGTCATAACTCAATAAAGTGCCATGTCCCTACACTATCAGGAAAAAGAGTTGAGGAGGTATTTTGTCAGGTAGCAGAAGAGTTACATATTCAGAAAAGATGCTTTAAAGGATTTTATTTTTAGTTGATGTTCATGTCGTTTTAAATCTTCAAAATCTGTTTTTTTTTTTGTCTGAAATTGTTTTATGGAAGCACTTTTCAAACAATAAGGAAACTGTTTTTTCTTCTGTGTTTTTTCGGTTCAAACATGGAAAAAATGTCTCATCAGTGAAATAGTTTAATATTCATCAATATGTCAGTGCTGTTCTGGACACGGTTAATACATTTCGAAATGATGTTAAATATGAACATTACAGAACATCAAGATAAATCTAATTTTGCTTTTGAAAATAAATTTTATTTGTGATATTTCTAGTATTCAAGCGTGTTGCATGTGATCCTTGGACATTAAATCTTTTTCTTATGAGTCTAGCGTCTGACATGGAAAAAAATAATGCACTACATAAAGACATAACCTGTTCACTCTTTATTTCAGAGCACCTCATGTCTTGACACCTCGAAATTGGATGATGAAATATTGATCACAGCTAAAATACAAGCAATAGAAATAGATTACCTTATCAAGAAAATCCTCACTCTTAATCAGGGAGTTATTTACAGCCACTTAGTCTCATTTCACCCAATCAAGCACTGGGTCACTCATCAGGGTGTAATGAATGTAAATGAACCAGCATCCAAACACTCCCATCAGCAAAAAAACTCAACCGCCCTTTGTTTCCCACCGATCTGTTCACCACAATTTAACTTGACTTGGTTCTGCTCAGGCTTTATGCAAACATCAGCACTCTTACACTGTTACACTGAGTCAGTATGAATGAATGTAGAGACACGTTCACTGCACAGAAGCAGTTATTTGCGCAACTTAAAAATATACTTGGTACACAAATACCAGCGAGCCTCCTGGAGCATCTCAGTTATCTATATTATAATACTTCTTCCTTTACCTTTAAGAAAGCTAACGTATACTATTTTGAGACCTAAGCAGATGGTAGAATTTGTTTCCAGATCGCAGTTATGAAAACATACAGGAAAAGGTTCAAGCAGAATGTTGAGTCTTTGATTATCAGTCTCCATCCCGCTGATGTCCCGGATCTTTGCTGGCTGAGCCAATAAGCTTTTGAAAAGGCTTCTTATGATTAAGCTCCTCCTATCACATAGCCAAACAGTAGATCATTAACCTTCATGCTTGACACTGTACTTTTACAATAAAGGCATTAAGAACATTGACACGTTTTACATCGATGATGCAGATAAATACACAAAGTTTTCACTCTTTGCACAAGCTATCTTGCTTTTTAGGACTACAAATACCAAACTTTAGCCTACATGCACTCAACTAGTCCTGACACACTAACTGTCCTGTCTTTTAATAAGCATACATATAATGACACACCCTGCATCCTGCAGTTTTAAACACCATGATACAACTAATGGCTTGTACAAATGCACACACACACACACACACACACACACACACTGTAGGACATGTTATTAAAACAGGCTCCATCACTGGTGTGCTTGTGTGTTTGGTTGGAGAGGAGGGGGATGACGGTGGGTAAAGCAGACACACAGTAAACCTTATTAAGGAGGGGAGTAATGTGGTTGCAGCTGAATTAGCAGCAAACAGCTGAGGTCTGACAGCTTTGATTTACAGCCGAGACAAAATTTCTTTTGTCTCCATATTCTCATTTTTATGACCATGTCAACTTTTGTGTTGGGTTGAACTGTAAATACTGTCTAGTGCATGAGTAGAAGGGTTTGACTGAAGATGCTTAAACAGCTTAGATCAAACGGTGTACAAGTATGGAGGGATGGATACTCAACACCTTCACTTTAAAAAAATACTTTTTAAAAAATTTTGATTAAACTCATTAAATTTCTGCAAAAGCTTGTAAAGATGAGAAGTCTTCAAAATACAAAAGCTCATCTGTCTAAAATCACATTCTTTAGAGCTGTACTGTTGCTGTTTTAATGTTAACATGCTACATGTGTCTAAATCATATTGACTTTGATGATTACTTTAAATCATCCCGTTTTTAAATGATCAAACACAAATTCCTTGAGTCTCCTAAAATCTCTTTTTGACTTTATCTAAACCCCCGTACTGTGCGATTCCAGGGCCTGTCAGTGGACTGAAACGATGTCAAAGTCCAGTTACAAAATCAGTCAAGTAGATTGATCATGACAGGTGTACAGGGAGATCTGAACTACTGCACCTTTTCTCTCCTGTGGGGACAAACTGACTGTGGAAAACTCAGACCTTAAAATTCTGGCCACCAGAGGTCAGTATTGTAAAGTATCCAAGAGTTGAGTTGAGCTTTTCTTGAGCTGTGACATTTTTTACCATTTTTACTCTGTCCCGTCACAGTAAGGGAGAAATACTCACACTTTTATTTTATGACTTTATCTGACAGCATTAATAATCAGCAAGAGATCAAGATTTTAGGTTATGAAAAACAACAACCAATAAATTCTGTATGGAGACTGAGGTAACAAGGAGTTTCACTTTGAATACTGCAGGAACTTAAGATTGCATTAAAAGTTGAACTAACAATAAGATCTTAATACTTTTCCCAGGTGTAAGAAAAGCGTTATCCACAATGTTTCTTAAACATTGCAGCGTGTTAAAGTGGGTCAAAAACTGGGTTATGATAAGCCGATAAGTAAAGGTGGTGGGCTGAGTTTTTGTTTCTAATTCTTTGGCTCAAACATCAAACCTCAAAGGACCAGAAAAAGATCTGTGAGAAGTTGGAAAGCAGCTTTTTGAATCTCTTATTTTGTTGTTTCACTGCTTTCTATTTTTGAAGTTTTGTGTGTTCATTTCTGCAGTTTAGAATATTTTTATCCATGTGTCTTTGTTAAATCGCCTCTTCATTATGTTGAGGAAGGATTTGCTGCATAATCCTCTCTCTTCTTCCCAATCATTATTCCTTCTCTTTTTACTGTCTTCCCCACAGCTGTGCTCCATTTTCCAGAAGCTTTCAATTCGGATTAATTTTGTGTTTGTGTACGTTATACTGATGTGGTTCCAGCTGTTTGCTTTAACACTGGATATGAATGTTTGCGAGCTCGTCCATATGCTCATCCTATACAGTGTGTGTAGTATATGTCAAGAGCAGCTATGAGTGTGTGAATTTATATGCTGTGTGTAAATGAGGGTGTAATAAGTCAAACCCTCCCACCGAGAGATAGGAGAGAGGCGCCTTTATTTTTATCCCTGTGTCAAAATTTTTATCTGCTGTGTTAATTTGGGGACTGTTTGAAAATGGGAAGAGAGGCTTCATTCTCCTGCTTAATCCCTCAGGCCGTCATTTCTGCTGCTCCTCTACACACACATAGACACACACACACACACACTACCAGCCCTGCTAATGAAGCTTTTACCCTGTTCACTTTGGATTTATATGTCACGCCTAGTTAGCCATATCCTTGTTTCTTCTACCAAGTACCTAGCAGTTCTCTAATCGCTACATGTGCAGGAATTTGTCTTGTGTTTTTCACTTTGTAATGTCATGGCTCGATCTTCTGTGCAGCTCCTAGTTGAATGACAGTATAAACAGACTTCATCGGGGCCTCAGAACCAATCACATCCCTCTAAATTAGAACCAAAGATGCCTCTTCTAAAGGTTTGTAACTTTAGGTATAAACTGTGATAAATCTCCTCATCTTTGCCACACAGCCATGGTTCATATATGAGTCGTTACAGTCTCCTCAGATGCCCTGCTACGCCTCTTGTTCTCCTCCACCTGGATGCAGATGTATCCAGTATTGTTTTCCAGCAGAATCCAGCTGCAGCTCGGCAGCAGGCTCAGTTAATATGCCATGGCACACGCTGACAGTTCCATTAAACCATATTTATGGCAGCCACAAGTAATCGATATGCAGATACGCCAGGCTGTCCGTGTTCGCACAATTGTCTTTGGTTCAGCAGTGCAATGCATCAAAACTGCCATCAGTGACAACAGAGACAATCTACACCATCACTGGGCATTGTTTGTCCCCATAGACCTCTTTCCTTTCATCTTCCTCCTCTATTTTCTCCTGACTCCATCCTTCTGTTACTTTTCTTTTCCCTCTTTATTGGTTCAAAGAGAAAGGTCTTTCATTCTATAGAAGAGATTTAACCCTATAGATTATTCAGGAATGATTAAGTATATATACTGTATGTATGAATGCCGCCACAATGAGGGTTTGCCCTTCCGTAAGTACTCTGAATCTCTTCTGCTCACTCCACTGTCAGTCCCTTTGGTGCTGCAGACAACAAAAGACACTCAGCTTTACAGCATATCTGGCATGCACAGGCTTAAACCCCGACATATGGATGATGCCTCAAAGCAGCGGCAAAGCTGTAAATGTTAGCAGCAGGAGTAGCAGAAGCATTTCAATTTAAACATTCATTATGTAGAAGTACAGTCTACTCTGTTTACATCAGACAGTCACACTCTGCCGGGGCTCACCATTATTCAGTGACAAGAGCGCAGAGGTAAAGAAGTGAAAGGATTATTCAAGCTCGGGTATCACTTTTGTTAGATTGTGCAAATGCTTGATATTGAAATACGACCATTTTGAAGCAGTTTTTGACAATTTCCACAAATAAATTGAGGTAAGGAAAGATTTTCAAAGAACAATAAGACTAATTAGAGTTCGATAGTCTAATGGTAAGCAGGAGAAGCGTTTAATCTGATGGGCCACAAACTGGTGAGAAGTAATTCAAGTCTTGTTGAAGAGTCAGAGTAAAATGAAGTATTAGAGCAACACTTCCATGAGCTTTCTAAACTCATATTTAGTTTTCATTTTGGAATAGAACAGATTTTTTGTCTTGACTTTCAAAAGTCAGACAGATGAGATTTTGTGAAAGACACCACTTGTGCATAGAGAAGACAAGGTAAGCAAAGCCTTCTTTGTCCACAGGGGGGCGCCAGAATGGACAAAAACTCAGAGTTCATCAGAGGAGCTTTAACTAAAGACTCAAAATGATCAGTTCTGGTTTGAATTTCAAACTAATATTCATGAAACCCTATTTTTATTTAGTCATAACATGGTTGTTTTCAGTACATATCCTGAGTAGAGGTCTGGATACCTTTTCTGATTACAGTGGTGCCACCATGTCCTTGGTTTATGATGTTGGAAAATATGTAATGTGTATTTATTGAATTATGGCACTCTTTTGAAATAGTCACTGGACTTCTTGTCTGCTGTTGATTGATCACATAGAATAAACCCTTTTATTTATCTTAGTTTTGAGATACAGTAGCATGCATGGGTATTGAGTTAATTAGCTGCAAATGATCAACTTTGAACCAGTGTTTCAGTTTAGGGATGACACTTTGTGAGTAGAAAAAGCTGAATGAAGTGCAGATGGATCAGAGGTCACCTGATGAATGGCTTCACTTACAGCCAGCAGAATAATGCTGAGTCATGATTAACCATCACCTCTGCTGATCTTCTATTTCCTCCTCTTCACTCACTTTTATTTCTTGCTGGCTTTTTCCATTTCTTCTCTTTTGCGCCTCTACCCCTTCCCTTCTTTGTTCATTCCTCCTACCTCAGATTTTTATTCCCT